GAGCTAATGTTTGACTTTCCATTGAGCATGGGCATCCATGTGATGCCTATGTCAAATGGCATCACTTCCTCTTGTTTCGCAGGAAACATTATGGACTTAAATATCCAACAACAAGATGGCAACAATAACATCACAATGAAACAAAAGGTTTAATAAGCAAAACAACAATTTTGCATGAAAATGTCTAATTTCGCATTTTATGGATAGCGTAAACAAGCAACCGCAAAATTTCATTTCACTTTGCTCCTGAACTTGGATATGGTCCCTTGGAATTTAACTTCAGTTGTCTTTGCGTACATTTGACAAGGTAAGTGGGAATGAATGATCCCACTAAAATACTGAATTGAAAGAGTGCAAATTCATAGCAGGCTCTTGTTAAGGCAGCAATTTTAAGCGTAAGCAACAGGTTTAACATGTTTGAACAGGTTTTACATGTTTAAAGTTAACTTATTTGTCCATGGGGCTGGACGGCGGCTCGATCAAAGAAGCAGACAGTTGCTCACAGTGGTTTCTCTCCCTTCGTAGTGTAGCATATGGCCTGGAGAAACCACTGCTCACAGGGTATTGCATCTGTCAAGTAACATAATTTGCATAAGTTTTGAAAGCAAAGGTTAGTGGGTATTTTTTGGTTGATGTGGTATTTAAAATTTAGCTTCCCTTATTACTCTTGCTGCTATGCCAATGCCATCTTTGTTGTTGATACATTTGAAATAGTAGCATTATTTTTTTGACATTTTCGTTCTTGATTTCATTTCAAGCAACATTTGGAGCTGGAAATGGTCCCACTGTAATTCTGCGATCATTCTCAAACCTTACGCTGGCAAAGTAGTCTATTTTATCTTTACTATAAACAGTTAATGGGTCTATTTACATGGAAGGAGGAAGATGCTAGTACCAGAAAGATCTTGAAGGTGGATCATCCTATCGCCATTTGTTTTCTGTATTCAGTTTACATGCAAAGGGTTATACCTGTCCCTAGTGCTGGGATCTTCTTTGTACTAGGATCTTCTTAGCTGAGAGGTAGACAGATCCTGGCTTCATGTGAACTGCCTTTGTTAGTAAGATCCTAGTACTAGGGACAAACCAGACAAAAGTGGCGAGGGGCTGTTCAGTGGCTAATCATAGCAATAAAGGCTCACCATTTCTTTTAGCGTTACCACATGCTGATTATTGTGATTATTGCGCATTTGAATATATTCATATAGATATTTGCGCCGAATAAGTAATAAATTATTAATTATTAATTATTCTACTGAAATGTGAAATGTGTTAGAACAGCGATGTATAAGCCCTATATAAATTCCATTATTATTATTATTATTATTATTATTATTATTATTATTATTATTATTATTATCATTAAATGTAGTTATTAAAACCAGTTAAGAGAGCAGAAGGAACCAAAATTTCATTTTTGTTTTTGTGGCTCCTCCTTGAACCTTCTCTACTTGGGCACCATATGGGCCAACATTTCTGCGCGTAAACCCAACGTAAAGTTGTTCTGCCTTCTGGGATCTTCCTCCTTTCATGAAAACAGCCCGTGTCAGAAGGATATTGCTGTCTTAAGTCCTTTCTGTGAGGAAGTCATTACTTAGCTCCTTTTAATGCCCATACACAAAAATTAATGCCCTTGTAGAGTTGGGAAATGAAACAGATTTTATCTGGTATTAAACTTGAAAAAGTTGGGCTAACTTTTTCCACATTTTAATCCATATCCATCCATCCCATTGACACAGTTTCAGTGCCTAAATATAGTGTTAAATAACTGAATGTACCATTATTTTTGGAATTCAATGATGCAAAGACACTTTTTAGCTCTATAAAAAGATAGTAAAAGGAGGTTAAATAGCACCTTTAATCACTTAATTTATAATTGCCACTGTGCAATTTATTGTGTGACAAATCCTTTCTTAGCTCTTCATAGTTGCTGCATTGGAGGAATTGCGATTGGAAGTCATGGAAAGGGGATGTCTGTGGGATTGAATGGCAGTAAGTGAACATATTATTTGTTATTTGCTTCGGTTCTAAGAATAGCAGCAAATTATTGTTTTCACGGTTCCAGCTTATTGACAGCTGTCCAGGAGACTCAAGTATAAAAGGGCGGGATTTTACTGAGGCGATCATTCTAAGCTGACATCACTGCCTGAGTTTCGTTTGTCAATGCTTTTTTCTTTTTGTGTCATTTGAATTGATTGTCGTTAGTCGTTGATGTACTCATAATTTTGTATTCTAGTTCAAGCTCTCTCCCTCGAGGTTCATGTTAAGTGTCTGGCTCTGCTTTCGGGAGGGTTCAGGTTTCCTCCTTAGTGAAGGGAGTTTTTCCTGATGGGCAGCACACACGATATCATCTTTATTATTGATCTATTGATCAAAGAACTTTACTTGGAACTTGTTACATTTTTTCTACTTCACTGCCTTTGCAGTACCTAAGTGTTTGTATTTGTATGAATAAACAGGGACTGATGTTCCCATTACGCTGGGCTTCTATCCAGTGCAGCAGTCAGTTTTCCTATTTAACACGGAATGATTTCATTGTTTTCACTCTTCATGGTTTTAACAAAAGGGAATAGGGAAAACTTAAATAATATTATGATAACATTTGCTGTGGGAAATCTTGAAATCAAGCTACATGTAGTTCGTGACTCATTTTCCTCATGGGGAGTAGAGTGAAAAAATATGGGAATCGATGGATGTTTTTTACCTTCAGTTAAATTTTAAAAACATCATGAAAGTTAAAAAAATTAAAGATAATAAAATTGTCAACTATAAAAATAAATTTTGTAGTTTATTATTGTTTTTTGTGACTGCATGCGAGAAGTCTGTCCCTGTGAAAAGAGTTGTGACTGTGGTGCCTGCTGCAATTTCATTTTTAGTTTTAGGTACTAACAATATTTTCTCTTGTTACTTCAATCAGTGCTTTCTCGGCAACTTGACGAACACACCGTGGGATATTTAACTTACAAGGGCGGCACTCACTCTTCCATGAATGCAACAGTAATGAGGGAACAGAACAAAGTTAAATGCAGTTTACCATTCAGGTAATGACTTAGTACTTAATAAAAATATCAAAATGATTTTAAACATTTGAAATTGGAATGTCATACTTCCAAACATTTAAATTCCAAACGTCATTCTCTCTTCCAAACATTTGTTTTCTTTATTTCATCCCTTCAAACTTTAGAATTGAGAATGACATCTTTTCAAACATTTGCATTCCAAATTTATGTCATCCTTCCAAGCATTTAAATTCCGAAAATTATCCTTCCAAATATTTAAATTTCGATTGTTATTCTTCCAAACATTTGAAATCTAAATGGTATCGCTTCAACCATTTGAATTCTGAATGTCTTCCAAAAAATTTAATTCTGCATGAAATCTCTCCAAACATAAATGTTAGAATTCTGTATGTAATCCTTCCAAAAATTGGAATTCTGCGCTCATCTTTCCACCATTAGAATTCAGACCTTATCCTTCCAATTATTGGAATTCTGACCTTATGCTTCCAAACATTGGAATTCTGGCCTCATCCTTCCAAACAATCATTAGAATGTTGATCTTCATCTGGACAAACTTTGGAATTGTGACCTTATCCTTCTAATTAATTCCAATTAATTTAATTATGACCTTATCCCTCCAAACACTGGAATTGTGACCTTATCTTTTCAAATATTGGCATTCTGACCTTTTCCTTCCAAAATTGTGACCTGATCCTTTCAAGCATTGGAATTCCGCTTTGTCCTTCCGAACATTGGAATATTCTAAACATCGCACAGCAAAGGACCCAACTGCTTTCATTTACTTGTAGGTAGCCGAAAACATACGATTAAAGAAAGACCCATCAGTGAGCTTTTACAGAAAACATGCACATGTTTTGCCAACCTAATCCTATGCTATATATCAATGTCTTTTATCAAGTATGATAGATCCTGCTGCATGACTGAAATCGGGATAAGCCAGCACTGGTACGTTTACCAGGTGATCTTTCAGCTTCTCATATGCAGCTTGTTGTTCATGTTGCCAACAGAATGAAACATTCTTCATACACAATATGTAGAGGGGCTCAGCAATAATGGAAAATTGTTGTAGCTATTTCTTTAGAGAGACTCAGACCAATAAAGTTGATAAAACAAAACAAAGCAAAACAAAACAAAATCCAATGATGAACTATCTGTTATAGCCAGCAAGACCAGGGAAGCTTTGATGCTCTTTTACATTTACTGGTACTGGCTATATTTTGTATGGGTGATCAGTCTTAACTCTGTCATATTACATAACATTTCAAGAAAAGTAACCTTTTCTTCTGAGTGTGTTCTTCAATGGTGCAGATGATGATATCATCCAAATACAACAGACTGTGTGTCCAGGAACGGAGCCAGTATTATTAATCAAGTGAAGTTAGCAGGTCCCATTAGTCTATCAGAAAGGACTTACTCTCCACTGGAATTGCCCTAATGAGTTAAGAATGCAGTGTTAGGCCTATCCTATTCCTGCCCATTTGGGGGTGGTTTCAGCTTTTCATTCCAGCTCATGACACCTTTCATTCACACCATGAATCTTTTCATTCACACCACTGGGTAGTGGGGATGCAATTCTGTGCGCTGACCACCCAATCCTTGGCCAAGCGGTAATTGTCTTACATCTTGATTACCCGAACTGTTATGAGTCTCAGGATGCTTTCATTTCAGGCCATGTAGAGCGCCCATCCCTGCCGCATCGCTCAGATGTGTTTCCCGGGGTGATGGACCAGCAGCCCCAACCCTGCAAATCTTCCCGCTACTTACAAGAAAGGTAGAACTCAAAACGACAGATCAAAACGGAAACGACTGGCCATTGATTTTGGGATAAGAATCCCAGTCATTTAAAAGCTGTGTTAATCACCATCTTTTAGCAACCTGATTTATGTAGCTGTTGATTGTTGTATCTTCAAATTGTGAGCTCTTGTGAAACATTGATTGGCCATTTTGGATCACTGCATAGTGCATTTGTGATTCCTTTGGTGGCTATTGTTCACTTTTGCTTGCTATATAAAAAGAGAGCAAGTTCCTCAAGTTCTGAAATCTCAGACAAAAGGTTCTCACTGTCTGCTGAAGCACTCACAACATTCACAGACTTTTTCTTCTCAACAGATGCCACCACCGGACAAGCTTTATGCGCACTTTCTAATTGATGAACAGTACAAACGGCCTCCACCAGCGACCTAGGTTGGCTCTTGAATACTTTGGCTCTGACCAGTTGGCTGTTCTTGTATGGCCTTGTATTCGTCTTCTGTTGCCTCCTCCCTGCTTGTCTCTCTGTTTTGAACATCTTCTGCAAGTCCACCTCCCTCGTTATTGGATCTGTATTTACTCCCTTATCACATACACCACCGCGTTTGAGTCATCCGGCTGGAACCATATCAGCAAGGCAGCACCGATATTCACTCTCGTCTGGTAAGTTAAAAACGTCGCTGGGAAGCTCATCATAGGCCCCAACCTCGATAATTACCTTTGATGCTCTGATAATCACCTTTGGCCTCATGTTTGTCGTCTCTTGTCTCCTCCCGGCTCGTCTCACCATTTTGAAAATCTTCTGCCAGTTCACCTCCCTCTGAATCCGATATATGTACTCCCAGATCACATTCACCACCATGTTCAAGTTCTCCTACTGGAGCTAGATCAGCAGGGCAGGACCAATACTCACTATTGCATGGCACCTTGGCAACCTTGTCGGGAAGCTCATCATTTGCCCCAATTTTGATAACCTGTTCTGATCAACTAAACGCTGTACTACGCTTCATTGACTGCACCTCACCAGATGCTGGCAGTACCCACTCAGGAGCCTTGGTCTTACCTTCAGGAGCATCCCCAGGACCTCTCCAGCTTGAAACACCATGGGTCTCAGGCACTTATCAGATACATCTTTCTGCCAATGCTGAGCTTCTTAAAAGACTTTGCCTCACATCCCTATTTGCAGTTTCTAACGTATCTTGAAGGTCACTGACAAATTCAGAGTAGTTAGTCTCATTCCCTTCAGTCCCATCATCACATCGAGAAATATTCGTATCTCTCTTCCAAACGTAAACCCAAAAGGAGTATGTACCCTGGAAGAGTGGACACTACTTTGGCTCTGGCAGGTTGGCTGTTTAACTTCTTCCTCGTGTTCGTCTTCTGTTATCTCCTGCCCACTCGTCCCAATGTTTTGAACATCTTCTGCAAGTCCACCTCCCTCCGTATCCTATATATCTACTCCTTGATCACATTCACCACGGTGTACAAATTCTCCGACTTAAACCATATCAGCAAGGCAGGACCAATACTCATGCTTACCTGACATGTTCACAACCTCACTGGGATGATCATCATTGGCCCCAACATCGACAACTTTTTTTTTTGCTCCGCTTATGACCATACCAGACTCAACTGACTCCACCTTACTCGACCCTGGTTGTATCGATTGCTGGTCCTTGCCCTCACCATGAGGAGCGTTCACTGACCCCCAGTAGCCCGTGCTTTCTTCCTGCCTTCCCTGGTACACCTGCAGGTTGTTCATATGAACTACTTGACATCGCCTGGAATGTGCCTGACTTTACTGGATACGTGATGTCCATGACCTGCTCCTTTATTTCAAATGGTCCCTCCCACTGTCAATGGAATTAGTTTGCTTCACATGGTTTCAGCGGTGGAGTGTAGCTTTGCACTAAATCTCCAGTTTGAAAGATCATGTTTCTAATGTCCTTATCATATGCATCTTCCTGCCGATGCTGAGCTACTTCTGACTTAACCTCACATCATGAGGTGCAGTTTCTAACCTATTGTGAAGGTCATTGAAAAGCTGCAAGTAGTTCCTAGATGGTATTGAATGTAGGGGTGCCCTCAGTTTTGGTCCAGACTTGCACTTGGCCCATATCAGACAAGCTATGGTACCTATTATATGCTTTAGTCGACCAAAACCTGGCTTTTATTTTCCTCAAGGTCTTTATCCTGCCCAAATGGCCACCTGCTGGACCATTATGAACTTCAGGAAGGGCTTCTTTAACAAACCCTTGGGGTAAAACCATCTTGCCCCTAGCTGACACCAACAAAAACAACAATCTCAGAAATGTGACGAGGAGCCTATATTTGAAATATATTGGTCATGTTTGCCATTGTCCAAACACTATATATGCTGACAAAGAAGATGCTGTTTGCAAAGTTGAAGCGTCCATAACAACATGACCTCGCAGCGTTGGTTGACGAGATAGTAGCCGATGCAACTCCTTGGTAACATGATTACTGACTGGAGGATTTAACTGTACTGTACTGTAGTCGGTTGTTCTTCGGCCTCGTGTTTGTATTCTGTTCTCTCCTGCCTGCTTGTCTCGCCATTTTGAACATCTGCTAGTCCACTTCCCTCCATATCTGATATATCTACTTCCAGATCACGTTCACCACAGTGTTCCGTTTCTTCGACTGGAACCATATCAGCCAGGTAAAGCTGATACTCGTGCTTGCCTGGCACATTAACAACCTTACTGGGAATTTCATCATTTGCCCCCATCTATCCATTGCCCTCTGCGCGGTACGCTGTTGACCACATTTTGTTAGTCTCAAGCAAATGGCACATTTCCTTAAACACCTGGGACTCAAAGTTTCTTCCCCGATCACTGTCTTGTGCACCATATCGACACTTCCAGTTCTTCCTCAATACCCCTGCACATGTTTTGCAACTTGATTGAGGATTGCATACACTTCAGCCCACTTCATAAACCCACATTGCATGGTCAAGAGGTACATGTTTCCTCTTTGGGATCTTGGCAAGGGATCAACAATGTCAATATGGATTCTCTGCATAGCGTTTCCAGACATAAACGGATGTGGGTGCCTTCGGGTTTGGTCAAGACTTAGGCTTGTTAGATATAAGACAACTGCTACAGTAGCTATGCACTGGTTTCGTCAACCCAAATCTGGCATTTAGGTTCCTCAATGTCTTCGTTCTTTCTAAATGGCCACCTGCTGGACCACCATGAACTTTATTAAGTGCCTTAAACAAGCTTCTGGGTTAAAACCATTCTGCCCTCAGCTGACAACGTTCCTTTGGCTGACTGCAGTTAAAGGACTCCTTCTCGTAGCTGTAATAGTTCCTACTGTGCCCAGATTTCCCTTGTTGCCCGACTCAAGGGTTGGAGCTCTTTAGCAGTCAGTTTCTTCAATTCCCGTGACAGCTGACCTACAACAGGGCAAGTATCAGGATTCTGGTCTTGACCTTGGGCCACTTTCTTGACTGACCACTCATTATTTACATCCTTCTGTTGTTCACTGCCGTGCAGGCTGCCCGTAACTGTTGCTACCTGTGGTGCTGCTGGAGGAAGACATGAGCGGCCTTCTCCATAATTCTGCCTAGGTCGTCAAGACAATGTGTCTGCATTTTTATGTTGCTTTCCTGGCCAGTGTTGGATCTCATAGTCAATCTTGGAGGTGTTACAGCCAACGAGCTACCTTTCCTTGGGGTCTTTAAAGGACATCCACCATTGTAATTACATTGTCAGTTCCAAGAACACCAATGGATTACAAAGGAAACAGTTTCACAATGCTGGAGTGACGGGTGCGAGTTTTTGTTCATCTATTCTTCTGCCTCCCAACCTCAGGCCAGTGGTGTTAGGTTACTGATTTGCAAAAAGTTCGCAAACTCATACAGGGCTGCTGAGAAAGTCTCGGAACAAATTCTGAAAGTTTACTTCAAGGGAAACCCACTCGTAGTTGTGTACGTCATCTATGCTCCTACCGATGTTGCCAACGATAGTGACAAAGCAGCCTTCTTCAATGACCTCCATGAAAATCTCTCCGAGAAGCAACCTCACGCCCTTGTCATCATGCAAGACCCAGACCCCACGACGACAAGCCTACTTCACTCTAGCAATTTCTAATCACTTTGATGCCCTCTCTTCCTCTTGATGACGTTCAAGTTCTTTACTCTGGCATCGTTTCAACTGTTCAAAACACTGCTGAAGAAGTTGTTGGCAAGCCTCCTAAACGCTCTACTCACCATTGGGTATCTGCCAGATTAGAGGACCTTGTCCAGCAATGCAATGCGGCAAGCATCGATACCTACAGAAATGCAACACTCACTCAAGACAACGATGGTGGCGCTCTGTCAAGAGGTCTGCAAAGTCTATGAGGAGGACGACCATAATTATCTTGCCAGACAGATCGCGGAACTTGAATTAGCAGACCGACAGAATGCTCCCAAAGGGATGTGGAAAATTATTGGTGAGATTCAACCCAGCTTCCAAGGTCCAGGCCCCAAGCGGACTTGTTATCAACTCAAAGAAAGACCTAATGGGAGAATGGAGGAGTACTTTGCAAAACTCCTCAACTCACCTCCTGTTTCTTCAACTTCGGACTTTCCCCAAACGGAAGTAGATCTTCCAATCGAAACTGGTGACTACACTCGTACAGAAGGTCAAGTGGCAATCCAAAGCCTCAAGGACTCGAAAGCTCCCGGCATTGACTCTGTTATGTGAACTGAAGCCCAAAGTCAACTGTGCTTGCTCTGCCCGATGTTCAAGGAAGTCGGTCTATACATTAACAATAGAAAGACCAAATTTGTTACTTGTAATATTCCACACTTGAGTCTTCAGCTCGAAGGAGAAGATATCGAGAATGTCGAAGATTTTAATATCTCGATATGTACATTGCGTTGACCGGGAAAGAGATCAAGTGTTTGAAAGGAAAAGCATTGAGTGCGTTTTGGGAATTGGATCGTGCTTGGAAGTCTCTTTCATCACTTTAACAAAAGGTTCAACTTTTCAAAGTGTCAGCTTTAAGTATGCTTCTATATGGGGGTGAGTCTTGGGTCCTAACATCCGACCTCTCTTGTCAACTTGATTCCTTCCAAACATCTTGCCTTGGAATAATACTTGGTTTTTCTCGTACTGATCATGTTAGCAACGAGGAAGTCTCTGATAGAACTGGAACAGTTCCCCTTTCCCAACCAATTAAAGCCTGACAGATTAGATTCCTGGGCCATTGTCTTCAGCGCCCTCAGGAGGACCTTATTTCTAATTGCGCTCTGTGCCACCCGACACATGGTAAACCAAGACCTCGTGGACATAAAATTCTATTCTACGAATGTGCTACAAAACTAATCAATCCCGAAAATCCCCCCTTCCTCACGAAATTCATACTTTGGCACAGGACCACAAAGCTTAGAGGCACATGGAGGTCGACTGTTGGCACCACTGGGAACCCCCATGACCGCCTCAGCCGAGCTGGGAGAGGTATTGCAGGACTGAAATTGGGACAAGCCTGTCCTGGCGTTCTTACCAGATGATCTTTCAACTTCTTAAATACAGTTCATTGTCCCTGTTGCCAACAAAACAGTACATTTTTTGTACACAGATTGAAAAGGCGCTCAGCAATAAAGGAAAATCCAGTGATGAAGTGTCTGTTATAAGCAGCAGGGCCAAGCAAGTTTTGAAGCTCTTCACATTCAGTAGTAGCGGCCATGTTTTGTCGGCTTTGACTTACACAGGATCAGTCTTTATTCTGTCAGATGACACAACATGTTGAGGAAAGTAAGTTCTCTTCTAAGGAAGTGACACTTGGTAGGCTTCAGTTTCCAAACCAGCAGTCCTTGTATGATCAAACACTAACCGCAGGCAGTGGATGTGGTCTTCAAAGATGGGCGCCCTGATGATAATATCATCGAAATATACTAGACAGTGTGTCCAGTTAAGGCCAATGAGCACCAAATAAAAGAAAATTAATAAAACAAATCAAGCTAGCGGGTCTGTTTGTCGATCCAAAAGGCATAACTCTCCTCTGGAATTGAACGTTATGAGTTGAGAAGGTAGTCTTAGGCCTATCCTCTTATTTCACTTGCATCTGCCAGTTCCCAGAGGCACGCACTGAACCCCACCCAAAGGCTCTAACACATCATCTGTCTGATGTAGTGGTATGGTATTCTTCTTTGTCAACTGGTTAAGTGTACAGTATTCAATGTAGATATAGTATAGTAGTTTCACGGGCTTGCAATCACTTGTGTGGATTTCGTAAATCAGAGCTGTCATTTGCAAAGATGACCTCCCAGTGCATTACCAGGGACAAACACTATTCTCTTTAGACTCCCGAAAGCCCTTCTAGGTCACCTGGCAATCTGGACTTCCCTTTTCATCCTCCTTTGGCTTCTCCCCTTTGGCCACTGGTTTGTTTTTAACTGAACATGATGACTGCGGGAAATTGGCGAAATCTGGCTTTGGTTGCAGTGAAACAAATGGCCACCCCACTACTGACAGGGTGCTATCGGCAACAGGAACATCTGCCTGTAGTCTCATGGGCCTGTTTAAGAAGTTAGCAACTCGAACTAGAGTTAGTCCATCTCTTGGAATTATTAAGGTACGGGCTAAGTTGATTTCAGATTTGCCTCTCAGTTCCCTTTTCTCCCCTAAGATCCCCGAAGTACCAGTATTATGATCAAATCCATTCCCCAATTTGTCGTCTATTATTTGTTCAGTTGCGGCTTCCACACAAATTACACAAGAAATTTCTACAAACACCAGGTGTAACCTTGTAAGATCTGATTGAAAGTTGTGGTGTCATAGTGAGTCTGAAATTTAAAGTGCTGAAAAAAGTCTGAGCCAAGTATGAGGTCGTGGGATTGGCCCTGTACAAACAATGAATACTTCTAAAGGAAAGCTAACTTCCGTTTCTTTCAGAACTGTTAATTTATTTCCATTTGCTATAGTCAGAGTCCCGGTTACTAGCCTCACTTTTGATTCAAATCCACTCTTCCTCCATGTTCCCTCATTCAAGACACTGCCAGTTTCACTAGTGTCTAGCAATATACAATTCACACTATGATTCACAATTCCTGTGACATAGATTCGAGAGTCTGTTGTTGCTGACAGTATTGTTATTAACAAAAGCAGGGTTGGTTACCTCATTATTGGCGATTGCTGATGCTTGGGCAACTGCTTCAAGAATGAGAGGAACTGCCTGGCCCTTCGGCAGGCCCAAAGCTCTGTTTCCCCTTTGTTTGTGTGGGCCGTTTCAAGTGAGATCGCCAGGTTCGCGGCAAGCAAAGCATACCACATCATTACGGCACTGCCCATTAAAGGGTGGTTTCAGCTTTTCATTCCAGCTCATTAATCTTTTCATTCACACCATTGGGTAGTGGGGATGTAATTCTATGCGCTGACCACCCAATCCTTGGCCAAGCGGTAATTGTCTTACATCTTGATTACCCGAACTGTTATGAGTCTCAAGATGCTTTCAGTTCAGGCCATGTAGAGTGCACATCCCTGCCGCATCGCTCAGATGTGGTTGGAATTCTTGGAACATTGGAATTCTTGCCCTATTTTTATAAACATTGCAATTCCCGCCCTATCCTTTTGAAAATAAGAATTCCCGCGCTGCCCTTCCGAACATTGTAAAATTCCGGCCTTATCCTTTCAAACGTTGGAATTCCCGCCTATTCTTTTGAGCATTGGAATTCCGGCCCTACCTTTCTTTTGTTGGAAATCCGGCCCTATCCTTTCCAACATTGGAATTCCAGCCCCATCCTTTTAAACATTGGAATTCTGGCCCTATTTATCAACACTGATCTCCGGCCCTATCCTTTCAAACATTGGTATTCCACCATCATCCTCTTTAAAACATTGGTGTTACGCCCCTTTCCTTTCAAACATTGGAATTCCGGCCCTATGCTTTCAAACATTGGAATTCCTGTCCTATCCTTTCAAGCATTGGAATTCAGGCCCTATTTTTATGTAAATTCGCGTTTTGGCCCTATTTCTATAAATATTCGAATTCTGGCCCTATCATTTCAAACGTTGGAATTCCGGCCCTATCCTTTCAAACACTGGAATTCCGGCCCTATCCTTTCAAACACTGGAATTCCGGCCCTATCCTTTTTAACATTGGAATTCAGGCCCTATCCTTTCAAACACTGGCATTCAGGCCCTATCCTTTTTAACTTTGGAAAATCCGGCTCTATCCTTTTTTAACACTGGAATTCCGGCTCTATCCTTTCAAACAATGGAATTCTGGCCCTATCCTTTCTATCACTGGAGTCCTGGCCCTATCCTTTCGACCCTTGGAATTCCGGCCCTATCCTTTTTAACTTTCGTAATCCTGCCCTATCCTTTTTAACTTTGGTTATCCGGCCCTATTCTTTCTTACATTGGAATTCCGGCCCTATTCTTTGTAACATTGGAATTCAGGCCCTATCCTTTCTAACATTGGAATTCCGGCCTTATCCTTTCAAACACTGTATATATTTCCCTATCCTTTTTAACATTGGAATTCAGGCCCTATCCTTTCAAACACTGGAATTCAGGCCCTATCCTTTCAAACACTGGAATTCCGGCCCTATCTTTTTTAACATTGGAATTCAGGCCCTATCCTTTCGAACACTGAAATTCCGGCCCTATCCTTTTTAACATTGGTATTCAGGCCCTATCCTTTCAAAACACTGGCATTCCGGCCCTATCCTTTTTAACATTGGAATTCAGGCCCTATCCTTTCAACAATGGAATTCCGGCCCTATCCTTTTTAACATTGGAATTCAGGCCCTATCCTTTCGAACACTGGAATTCCGGCCCTATCCTTTTTAACATTGCATGGAATTCAGGCCCTATCCTTTCTAACATTGGAATTCCGGCCCTATCCTGTTTAAAATTGGAATTCAGGCCCTATCCTTTCAAACACTGGAATTCCGGCCCTATCCTTTTTAACATTGGAATTCAGGCCCTATCCTTTCAATAACTGGAATTCCGGCCCTATTTTTTTTAACTTTGGAAAATCCGGCTCTATCCTTTTTAACAGTGGAATTCCGGCCCTATCCTTTTTAACATTGGAATTCTGGCCCTATCCTTTCAAACACTGGAATTTCGGCCCTATCCTTTTTAACTTTGAAACATCCGGCTCTATCCTTTTTTAACACTGGAATTCCGGCTCTATCCTTTCAAACAATGGAATTCTGGCCCTATCCTTTCTATCACTGGAGTCCTGGCCCTATCCTTTCGACCCTTGGAATTCCGGCCCTATCCTTTTTAACTTTCGTTATCCTGCCCTAACCTTTTTTAGCTTTCGTAATCCGGCCCTGTCCTTTTTAACATTGCAATTCCGGCCCTATCCTTTCAAACACTAGAAGTCCGGCCCTATCCTTTCTAACATTGGAATTCCGACCCTATCCTTTCTAACATTGGAATTCCGACCCTATCCTTTCTAACACTGGAATTCCGGCCCTATTGTTTGTAACATTGGAATTCTAGCCCTATCCTTTCAAACACTGCAATTCCGGCCCTATCCTTTCAACCACTGGAATTCCGGCCCTATCCTTTTTAACATTGGAATTCCGGCCCTATTCTTTGTAACACTGGAATTCCGGCCCTATCCTTTTTAACATTGGAATTCCTGCCCTATCCTTTCAAACACTGGAATTCCGGCCCTATCTTTTTTAACATTGGAATTCCGGCCCTATTCTTTGTAACATTCGAATTCTAGCCCTATCCTTTCAAACACTGGAATTCCGGCCCTATCTTTTTTAACATTGGAATTCGGGCCCTATTCTTTGTAACATTGGAATTCTAGCCCTATCCTTTCAAACACTGCAATTCCGGCCTTATCCTTTGTAACATTGGAATTCCGGCCCTATCCTTTCTAACACTGGAATTCCGGCCCTATTGTTTTTAACATTGGAATTCTAGCCCTATCCTTTCAAACACTGCAATTCCGGCCCTATCCTTTAACCACTGGAATTCCGGCCCTACCCTTTTTAGCATTGGAATTGCGGCCCTACTCTTTGTAACACTGAAATCCCGGCCCTATCCTTTCAAACACTGGAATTCCGGCCCTATGCTTTCTAACATTGGAATTCCGGCGCTATCCTTTCAAACAGTGGAATTCCGGCCCTATCATTTTTAACATTGGAATTCTGGGTGTATCCTTTCAAACACTGGAATTTCGACCCTATCCTTTTTAACTTTGGAAATCCGGCCCTATCGTTTTCAACATTGGGATTCCGGCCCTATCATTTCTAACATTGGAATTCCGGCCCTATCCTTTCAAACAGTGGAATTCCGGTCCTATTCTTTTTAATATTGTAATTCCGGCCTTTTCCTTTCAAACACTGGAATTCCGGCCCTATCCCTGTTAACGTTGAAATTCCGGCCTTATCCTTTCAAACACTGTATATATTTCCCTATCCGTTTAAACACTGGAATTCAGGCCCTATCATTTCTAACATTGGAATTCCGGTTCTATCCCTTTTAACATTGGAATTCCGGCCTTATGCTTTCAAACACTGGACTTCCAGCCCTATCCTTTTTAACTTTGGAAAATCCGGCTCTATCCTTTTTAACAGTGGAATTCCGGCCCTATCCTTTTTAACATAGGATTTCCGGCTCTATCCTTTCAAACACTGGAATTCCGGCCCTATCCTTTTTAACTTTGGAAAATCCAGCTCTATCCCTTTTTAACACTGGAATTCCGGCTCCATCCTTTCAAACAATGGAATTCTGGCCCTATCCTTTCTATCACTGGAGTTCCGGCCCTATCCTTTCGACCCTTGGAATTCCGGCCCTATCCTTTTTAACTTTCGTAATCCTGCCCTATCCTTTTTAACATTGCAATTCAGGCCCTATCCTTTCAAACACTGGAATTCCGACCCTATCCTTTCTAACATTGGAATTTCGGCCCTATGCTTTGTAACGTTGGAATTCTAGCCCTATCCTTTCAAACACTGCAATTCCGGCCCTGTCCTTTCTAACATTGGAATTCTGGCCTTATCCTTTCAAACTCTGGAATTTCGGCCCTATTTTTTTTTAACATTGGAATTCCGGCCCTATTGTTTTTAACATTGGAATTCTAGCCCTATCCTTTCAAAAACTGCAATTCCGGCCCTATCCTTTGAAACACTGGAATTCCTGCCTTATTCTTTGTAACATTGGAATTTTAGCCCTATCCTTACAAACACTGCAATTCCGGCCCTATCCTTTCAACCACTGAAATTCCGGCCCTACGCTTTAACATTGGAATTCCGGCCCTATTCTTTGTAACACTGGAATTCCGGCCCTGTCGTTTCAAACACTGGAATTCCGGTCCTATTATTTCTAACACTGGAATTCCGGCCCTATCCTTTCAAACAGTGGGTTTCCGGCCCTACCATTTTTAACATTGGAATTCTAGCCCTATCCTTTCAAACAGTGGAATTCCAGCCCTATCCTTTTTAACATTGGAATTCAGGCCATATCCTTTCAAACAGTGGAATTCCGGCCCTATCCTTTTTAACATTCCAATTCCGCCCCTATCCTTTCTACCACTGGACATCCGCCCCTATCCTTTCTAACACTGGAATTCCTGCCCTTTCCTTTCTAACACTGGAATTCCAGCCCTAATCTTTTAAACACTGGAATTCCGGCCCTATCATTTTTAACATTGGAATTCAGGCCCTCTCCTTTCTAACACTGGAATTCCGGCCCTATCCTTTTTAACATTGAAGTTCAGGCCCTATCCTCTCAAGGATTGGAATTCGTGCCCTAACGTTTCTAACATTAAAATTCCGGCCCTATTATTTCACACACTGGAATTCAGGCCTTATTCTTTCAAACATTGGAATTCCGGCCCTATCATTTTTAACATTGGAGTTCAGGCCCTATTATTTCAAACACTGGAATTCCGGCCCTATCCTTTCAAACATTGGAATTCTGGCCCTATCCTTTCAAACACTGGAATTCAGGCCCTATCCTTTCAAACACTGGAATTCCGGCCCTATCCTTTTTAACTTTGGAAAATCCGTCTCTATCGTTTTTAACATTGGAATGCCGGCCCTATCCTTTCAAAGAATGGAATTTCGGCCCTATTCTTTCTTACATTGGAATTCCGGCCCTATTCTCTGTAACATTGCAATTCCGGCCCTATCCTTTCAAACACTGGAATTTCGGCCCTATCCTCTTTAACAATGGAATTCCGGCCCTATCCTTTCTAACATTAGAATTCCGGCCCTATCCTTTTAAACACTTGAATTCCGGCCCTATTCTTTCTTACATTAGAATTCCGGCCCTATACTTTCTAACATTGGAATTCCGGCCCTATCCTTTCTTACACTGGAATTCTGGCCCTATCCTTTCTAACATTGGAATTCCGGCCCAATCCTTTCTAACTTTGGAATTCAGGCCCTATCCTTTCTTACATTGGAATTCTGGCCCTATCCTTTCTGACACTGGAATTCCGGCCCTATTCTTTCTTACATTGGAATTCCGGCGCTATCCTTTTAACCATTGGAATTCCTGCCCTATCCTTTTTAACAGTGGAATTGCGGCCCTATCTTTTTAACCATTGGAATTCCTACCTTATCTTTTCAAACACTGGAATTCCGTCTGTATCATTTGTAACATTTTTATTCCAGCTCTATCCTTTCTAATATTGTTATTCCGGTCTGATCGTTTTTTTACCTTGGTATTCGGGTCCTATCCTTTGAAACATTTCAATTGCAATTCATTCCTTTCAATTATTGGTTTTCACCACTTTCCTCTTTCTAACATTGGTATTCCGGCCCTTTTCTTTCAAACACTGGAATTTTGGCCCTCTTCTTTCAAACATTGGACTTCTGGCCCTATTTTGATAATCGTTTTTAATTCGTGTATTCGAATTCTGACCCTATTTTTATTAACATTGGAATTCTGGGCATATTTTTTTATAAACATTGGAATTCCGGCCCTATCCTTTGAAACTTTGTAATTCTGGCCTTATTTTTGTAAACACTGGAATTCCATCGCTATCCATTCAAACATTGGAATTCTTGCCCTTTCCCTTTGAACACTGGATATTCTGCCCTATCCTTTCAAACATTGGAATTGTAGTCCTATCCTTTAAAACATTGCATGGAATTCCGGCCCCATCCTTTTGGACATTGGAATTCCTGCACTCTCTTTTCAAACATTGGAATTCTGGCCCTATCCTTTCAAAGATTTGAATTCCAATCCATTCCTTTTAAACATTGGTATTCGGGACCTATCCTTTCGAACATTTGAATTCTGGCCCTATTTTTGTTAACATTAAAATTCCGGCTCTTTGCTTTTAAACATTGGCATTCCGGCCGTATCCTTTCAAACATCGGAATTCTGTGCCTATATTTATATACGTTGGAATTCTGACCTTACCCTTTCGAACACTGGATTTCTGATCTTATCCTTGCAAACATTAGCATTCTGATCTAAACCCTCCAGAAATTTCAATTCTTATATTATCCTTCCAAACATTAGAATTCTTTCCCTGTCCTTTTTAAAGATTGTAATTCTGATCTTATCCCTCCAAACATTTGAATTCTGATCTTATCCTTCGAAATACTGGAATTCTGGCCCTATCCTTATAAGCATTGGAATTCGGATGTTTTCCTTTCAGACATAGACCTTAAGAGAGATCTTGTATCTTTCTGTCAGGATACCCAATTTTACCCTTTTTATCCAGGCCGAAGCCTATGACGCAGGTTGTACCGAGTTACATGGTTAACCGGTAGCAGGCAAGGCACACCTGACCTGACCCTCCAAACGTTTGATTCTGTCGTCACTCCAAACATTTGAATACCGAATGTCATCACTACAAGCATTTGAATACCAATGTCATCGCTCCAAACATTTGAATTCCGAATGTCATTATTACAAACATTTGAATACCGAATGTCATCACTTGCAACATTTGAATTCCGAATGTCATCACTTGGAACATTTCAATACCGAATGTCGTCACTCCAAACAATTGAATACCGAATGTCATCACTACAAACATTTGAATACCGAATGTCGTCACTCCAACCATTTGAATACCGAATGTCGTCACTCCAAATATTTGAATAAAAAAGAAAATAATGATCTGGAGGTAGCACGTCCACAAAGTAGTTCTTCGTCTACCTGATTACTTGGCGAATTGGAACTTGGAAATGTTGGTTTTCTGGGAGAGGGAAAGCTGGAGTACCCAGAGAAAAACCTCTCTACATACATTTGAATTCCGAAAGTCATTACTCCAAACATTTGACTGCCGAATGTCATTACTCCAAACATTTGAATTCCGAATGTCATCACTCCAAACGTTTGACTACCGAATGTCGTCACTCCAAACATTTGAATACCGAATGTCATCACTCTAAACATTTGAATTCCGAATGTCATCACTCCAAAGGTTTGACTACCGAATGTCCTAACTCCAAACATTTGAATTCCGAATGTCGTCAATCTAAACATTTCAATTCAAAATGTTTTAACTCCAAACATTTTTATTCAGAATGGGGGAATTTCAACCACTTGAATTCAGATTTATTTAGCTTGTCATATTTGAGTTATTTCTGTATAATTACACGATAATAATGCATTATTTTACCAGCTGTACTTGGTTTTACTGGTTTGCAATCTAATCATGATATTTTTGTATTTCTTTTTTTCTTTTTCTTTTTCAGTTATAGCTTGGAATTCCAACTTCGTTTGTATAAGGTTCATAGACAAGAAAAATAGAGAAGGACACGGAATTTAAGGGCACTATAAAGTATGTATTGTTCTTCAATCGTTTCACGGGTCCGTACATTATGTATTTCTCTTAGATCTACCCAGTCTCCAAGATATCAGTCACTGACGCTGGAGGGTACCCTGTGTTTATTATCCACTCCAGGGTGATCCCTAGTTCCACCTGGTCTGTACTCCACCCAGGAGGGCCAGCCCTCCCGGTTCCCCTTAGTTCCTAGTGACTGGGGGATATGGGCCTCACCCCCGGAGACTGATCAGGACTCCTGTCCAGGGTGGCTACCCCTGGTACCACTCGATTCTTGTCTTCCCCAGGAGGGCTTCTTCCTAGTCCCCTTACCCCTAGATTTAAGCGCTTCCCTGCCCCCAGTATTTTTCCCATTAGTTTTCTTGTGTGTTTTCTGTGTAGTGTGCAGCGTAGAACCTTTATGCGAAACCATCCACCGATCGGAAGATGTTATTAACGATTTGCCTAGTCCCTAGGCCTTATTATTCCGCGCAAATTAACGATCAGTTTTAAAACCTTTATGATACATAGAAAAGGAGCAAGGAAAGATCTTATGATCCTCTCAATTTCTCAAGGCAGATTTAAATTCATCGTCAAAGATTTATAGTTAATGGTCACTTAAAGCCTGTTATGTATGTCTGACCATAGCTGAGTTTTCATCACACGTGAGCTAGTTTTGGTGTGGTAAATAAAACTAGGCTGAGAAAAGAGCCGACATTTAGCGACGCCACAACTACTTTCTCCGTGAAATGACGTCTGAGATACAAGCGCAGAAATTCCATACTGATGACGCATCACTATCCATTTCTCGGTAGTGTTTCTGATTGGCTGAAGCAAATTTCCCTCGCAGCACGACCAATCAGAAACACTATAGATCCGGGTAGTGACGCGTCATTAGCATGGAATTTCTGCACTTGTTTCTCAGACGTCATTTCGCGGGAAAACTAGTGGTAGGGTCGCGAAATGTCTGCTGTTTTCTCAGGATAGATTATTACTTGCATTTCACAAACCTTTGGCTTCCTATAATATTAATTTTCTTTTTTCCTTTCGTTGTCTGATCACTGCATCTTTCCATTGCTAATTTTTTAGAAGTGGAATGTTTTGGTCTATGGTTGAGCATGAATCTGAAGAGTTAATAAATTTTTTTAAGAAATCTAATAGCTATTTTGTCTTTATCGTGCTTACGACCCTGTTGAGTAAACCTGAAGTCTGTTTGTTGCTTTTTAGGCTTAATCGTAGTGAATGCATGGTATGGTCATTTAGTATCCATGGGAGAAAGGTAAGACACAAAACCAACGATTCACGGACTGTATCGTATTGCATCTTAAAACTCTTACAAACTTTTTCTTTTTTGTACTTAAAGTTCACAGGACGCTCGTCGAGGTCCCAGTAAAGTGATCGGTATTACGGTTCAAGTTAAAGATTCACGACTCTTCCTCACTGAGTCTTCAAAGGTGCGAAAGCCGTCGCCCAGCGCGGGAAAGTTTATGCTAAACGTCACGGTTTTGATTGTTTCTGATTGGTCGAGAAAGTTACGCGCTATGATTAGACAGTCGCAAGGTGTGACAATAGAGCCTTTCACGGTTTTGTGAAAATTTTTTACATGGCCTAGTTAGCGAAAATCCGTCGCCACCGCTGAAAAAGGAAACCTAAAAAGTAAAATTGCCAAGTTTGAGAGTGATTTGTCAGAATAGAACCAAGATATACTTGTAGCTCGGCAGAGTCGTAAAATTTTACAAATGTTTGTATGATGGGTTTGTATGAGGGCTGTGAAATTTCGGAACTTTAGGGAGTTATATCAATGCTCGCCTTCAACCTACTACTTTCAAACTTGGCAAGTTTATAAATTTTAAAGCACTCTTTTATTTGTTATTTTTGGCACCTCTCCACTTTATGATTGGTCGTGCCAAATCGTGTCACTTTTCAAGCCAATTAGATCAAACTAGAACTAATCATGGCTTGTTCCCACGTTTCCTGCGTTTTTCATAGATTCAGCCAGATCCCAAAGGTTTTTTCATTGTTTTTTTTTTCTGTAACCTCTAATTGGCCTAACGTATTTTCTTTGTTTGATGTGATTGGCTAATATAATTAATTGAACTGAAAGTCTTTTCTGTAACACCTGTTTTCGATGTTTTGTTTGTCTCTTTCAGAGTGATTTAAGTGGATTTTACGATCCGTGTTGTAACGAGGAAAAGATGCTGCAAATAAGATATTTGTTCAGGGAAGCGGTTCACGAAGTGACAGTCGGTGATAATGAAGCTGTTTAAAGAATACCAAAACATTGTAAGGTATCCTGCTGTATTCAGCTATTCGCCATTTTCACATAGACCATAATGCACGTAGTTTACTCCCCCCCCGCCCCAAGAAAAAAAATTGGTGTGTCCATAATTAAGTAAGTAAGTAAGTAGTTTACACAGGAGAACAACAAACTGAAGGATTGTGGTAGTTGCAGTAAGATGACGTCTTCTGCAATTGTCCTGAAATTTGCTGTTATGACAAAGAACCGGGCTTGTTAAGGTCTTTATCGCTGCTGGTAGTTTTAAGGTGAAAGTAAGTTAGGGCTTGAAAAAAGAGTTTGTTACTGACATGAAATAGAGCGATTTTCGTATGACCTTGAAATGAAAACGCGCGAACCAGACAGAAACAACAAACGAACGGAAATGGAGCAATTTGATTGGTTTATGAAACAGATACAAATGCACGTGGCTTTTGGTTGGCTAAGCAAACGCTCGGGCGAAAAAACTTCATACCCAAGGACTTTCTAGAAATCATTCGATGCTTCGCTTTGACGTCATACTGCAACACGATTGGCCAACTGAACAATGCCTTCTCCATATTAGGGTTTTCTTTGTCAAGAAAACGAAGAGGTCATGTTTTGATCTTTTCATCCATTGGCTGATAAAACATGTAACGAACACTTACCGAAACTATTTTTCAAGGTCATACGAAAATCGCTCTATAAGATATAAGTTTGTTGTTGCCACTGACTTCTTCTTCTCTTTTCCTCCCTTTAGCACCTTAAAATAATGCAGTCGAGTTAGCACAGTTAGCATTTGAGACATCGCCCAAATTGATCCCCATCAAGACACAACCATCAGGAGCTGCTGAAAGATTTCGTCAAATGCCTGCTGGTTTTATCACCGAACTCTTGTAAAATTTTGCACAGATGGATGGTGTTATATACCAAGAAAGGAAATAAAATAGAGTTTAATAATTCTTAATTTCCAAGGCTGGTTTCAGTGTCTCCAAGTCAAAACATATTTAAAAAATGTTGACAAGACATTTTTGTAAGTATTTTATCACTGAGACGATCATTTCGCGTACGTCATGTAAGACTTTGTACAATGTCCTGAGCCACACCCATATTACATATTGGGGACTGCGTCGATTTACGTTTTTTGGTCAGGGGATGGTTTATGTTCGAGGGGGGAGGTTCATGTTGGAGAGGGAAGTTGATGTTGGAAGGGGAAGGTTCATCTTGGGGACCGACCTGGGAAAACAATAGGGATGGTGACATAACAATGCCCCTATCCCTGAAAACAATAGGTAGTGCAGGTTATAAGGACCAATGAAATAAGAAGTTTGGATGCGTGCAGGTCAATCGCATGTTGTAGAGGGGAAGAGGTTCATGTTGGAGGGCTGAGTTCATCTTAGGTGGGAGGGGACTGCAAAAGAGAGTCTTTAGAGTGGACGGTGATTTTTAAAATTTTGTACTTAAGTGAGCAGGAATTAAAGAATTCCCCAAAAATAAGGGTTCAGTTTTATTTTAAATGATCCTGTTACTTTACCTCAACCATAAAAGTTTGTTGATGCCCATGATATAAACGGATTACAACTTGAAAAAAATTGGGTAACTTTTTAAAGTTTAACTCGTCTGTTGTCGAAAAGTGACCAAAAAACGATCATGCTTTGCTACCTTGAAGAGCACCAAGTTTGAGAAAAGATGACTGACAATACGTTAGTCGTAGCTATAATTGCGGCTGAGCTTTGACGGAAAAATGACACAGCCGAGCCGTTTTCGCCTTATTTTGATGTCATCATAAGTTTTAGTATTTTGCAACCCTGGAGCCCGTTTCTCGAAAGGCCCGGTAACTTTTCAGGTGCGAAGGCAAATTTTGAAATCAAAAGCAGCTGAACAGTACCACAGTTCCTAGCTCACAAATTTAAACCGATCAATTTTGCTTCGACAATTGATAGTTTCGATATTGTGTCAATTCAGAATTATTGAAACTCTGATCTTGAATGCTAACATAAAACAACTTTTCGGGCCCGAAAGGTTATCGGAACTTTTGACAAACGGGCCTCTGAAGTCAAACGACGCGAAAATGTAAATAATAATAATGTTAATGATATAAGAAATAAATCATATCTGAACTGCGGAAATGAAATCAAATGAATTTTGGGAGATTGCTGGGAAAATTTATCTGTTCCTCACTCCCAGCAAGACTGATGGAAGAGTTCCCAGCCAGCAAGGAGCACCTACAACCTGCAACCTGACTTACTGGGAAGTTTCCCAGCAAACGTACGTCCAGACATTACTGGCCACTTTGGGTGTGGCCTTAGGGGCGAAGTTCAGCCCTTCAGTTGGGCAGTTGGGGGGAGGGAGGTTTCTGACAGATAACACTAATAACAGTAATCTAGACATCAAATCTCCTCAGACTACCTGAATTTTCTATTTCCAAGGAAACCTTTCCTTCCAAGGACATCAATTCTTCCAAATCTCCCAGCCAGCATGAGGAACATATCCATTGGGTGCCCCTGGAAATAGTGACGGTAACGGAAAACCCCAAATTCACTCAAAATACATGATAGGAGTCATAGCTTAAAGTAGTCAATAAGAGAAGAAAGAAAACAGAAGAAAACGGTAGTTAGTATGTGGTCTTAAACCCGCGTTTTTGGATGTATAATCCACTTCCGTATCTACTACACCGTCAAGGGCCGACACCGGTTAACTTCAACGTACTTTACATGGCATTGATCACTACATTATTGAAAGCTATCCGTTTTTAAAACAGTGCTTAACCCTGAACACTGTACTTCGGTGCTAAACCCTGTATTCAACTCTTTTCCTTACTCTGATTTCCCCATTTTTCTCAAAAATGTGCCCAATAAATTCGCATAAATTTTGAAAAGCGCGGTATAGAGTATAGCGTTGTGTAATAAACATGGGTGTCCAGCGCGTAAGGTATCTATTCAGGTCGCAACCGGTAGGGTATGGGCAGGTGCTTCTTGACTCGCCCCATTCGCGCGCAAAACGAAACAAGCTACAGCGCAATGCTGCATGTAAAAAGTTGTAACGTAAAGCACAATCCTGAAAGCGTCTTTCGCTATCTTGCAGGTGCAGTAAACAGTCACTAGAGAACAAAATGTAATAGAAAAGATCTTTGTGCTATCTGTGGTTATTGAAGCCTTCAAAACTCAAAATGTTCCTCTGTTCACCTCTAGCAAATTGTTGTTTGGCAGTATAGCGGCTGGGCTTTATATCACTTTGCATAGCTCAACAGCCAGACTACACGGGATTCACCCTGTGCGGATTCACCTGATGGGCAGTCGGGATTCACCTGATCACCGCGTTGTCGTAATTAAAGAGGTTACGTTTATATGAATTTACTCTCTGTGGCCGAGATCTAGTGTCCGTTGTCCATATTAGAGAGAGTCCGTATTATAGAGGTTTTTTAAAGAAAATAAATGAGAATTTTGTCGGGGCATTGAAACTGTCCGTAATAGAGAGGTGTCCGTACTGAGAAGTTCGACTGTATTACCTACTTATTACCACCAGTACCTACAAGTAACTACCCAGAGTAACTACCAGTAACTACTAGTAACTGGCAGTAACTACCACCAACCTCTAGTAACTACTAGTAACTACCAGTGGTTACTACCAACTGCTAATAACTACCAGTAGCTATTAGTAACCACTAGTAACTACCAGTAACTACCAGGAAGTTTCCCGCCGAAAAAAATGTAGCACTAGCAAACATATACTCCTCCCCTAGTTGGGCTGACTCCGTACTCCCTTCCCCTCTCCCAGAGTCTGTACGGACGGTCTTTCGGGCATACGCTGACGTCATAACCAAATTTTCTCGGACCCATAGGTTTCCGTATTTATTTAGCTATGGGGCTCCGCTCAAGCGCGCTATCCGCACGTGTGGAGCTCCGCTAGTAACTACCACTAACTACCAGTAACTACTACTCATCCTACCATCTTTTGAAAAAGGCACTGAAAAAAAAAGTGCCAATGATAACTTGAGAGACGTCTTTATTCAATTTATGTACCCACACACACAGCTAGTTAGCTACACACAGAGAGAGATTTGCAATCACGTTTTGGAAGGGAAAAGACTCCTCAAAAGGTTTAAACTTCAACCAAAATCGAACAAAAACCCCAAAAGTTACTCATCGTAGCATCTTTTGAAGGAGACGATGAAAAAGCACAATACGCTAGCTTCAAAAACATCTTCATTTAATGGCTACCTTTATCATTACCAAGTTAACATTTGATTGTGTTTATCGTCATGAACGAAAATCCCCGGGGGACTACTCCCTTAAATTTGCCTTATAAGTATTGACAGCCTCCTGGTATTGGGTGCGTTTCTTTGGGATGATCTGGATGAGGATTAGTGATCCGATGATCCGGATCATCTCAGAGGCGCGCACCCATTGATCTGAAATAAGATCTAAAGTCAGGATTTGGAAAGTCGAACAACACATCCCACCACTACTTCCCAGGGATACGCCCCCGGATTGCTCAGTTAATAATTGATAGCGTTCATTTTGTGAACCAAATATGCCAGCGGGTACTTCCTTACATTGGCCTCATAGATATTGGTCTTAAATAAAGTCTAGGGTAAGGATTTAGAAAGTCAGACGGCACATCCCTACCACAAATTTCCAGTAATACCCCACTCCCTCCACACAGGAGAAAAGATCGAAGGTATGAACTGGGCTGCACAGGCTGCCCAGTTAAGAAGCCGCGCATGCGTATTTGGACAACTTGGGCACGTGGAAACATGGCGGACGCTGGTGAGTGCGTTGATCACTTTGATTTTCTGTAATTTGGTGCAACAAAGAAAGGCATCTTGCTCACGCATTTAAGGCCGTTTTGTTTATTGAATTATTTTCTTGCAGAAGCTGTGCCGCGCAAGAAGCACAAAAAGGACAAGCGTAAATCTGAAGAGGACATAGGTAATGTTTGCATGTGCAGCGCGCTTACAAAACAATCTGGATACAATAGGCTGTGAAATGAGTTGTTTTGTAGTGTAGCTCGTCCTTTGGAAGAAGCTAGTCATACTTAACGCATTTCTACTGACGATCGTTTCGTATCGATCGTACAGGTTCTTCAAAGAAAGAAAAGAAGGTCATTAGCGAGGCGGTTGATGTCGACTCTTCGAACCATGTGGGGGTGAGTTGGTCTGCCACTTTCCTCGCACATAAGCTTAATTTGCAGATATATTCTCTGCTAATTATCTTTAAGTAGCTGCTCAGTTGTATCGCTAAACTGGCGTTGCACATCATTATAATTGGTAGATTAGTCGATATAAAATTAACTTGTTCACTGCTTGTCTGATTTTGGTTACATCAATAATTGTTTCTCGACAAATAAAACGGGATTATTCTCCGATCTTGGTTTGCAACGTTGTGACGAGGCGGTCGTGTTGGAGGTCAATGAATTTTATTTTGCAGAATTTGCTTGAAAAAAGGATTTAAGTCCCCTGCAGGAGATCGTTTTTGTCCTTATCATCCAACATGGTGGCCTTGTAATCAGCTGCAAACCAGCAGTAACTGTTGTGGTTGTGTAAAGTGCATAGTATGATCTTGAGCACTGCTCATGAACACACTAGGCAACAAGTTGCAGCAACACGTCTCAAATCAATTTGTGTGTACTGAAGGATTTTCGTGAAAAGCTTTGTGTCTGCAACAGAATTTTGTTGTCACCCCCTAATGTCACAACATGTCGCACAAAATTATATCAGACTTAATTTGTGCAACTTGTTGCAGCGACAAAATTCGGTTGCTAAGTCAAAGATTTCCACTAAAATTCTCCAGAACACACGAAGCGATTTGTCACTATAACATGTGGTGGAACTTGTCTCAGTGACTTATCACCTAACTTGCACACACAGAGTGATTTCGCGGATTTGCCATGGCGACGTGTTGCACCTAAGAGTATTAGGCTTGTGTGCACAATGGAAAATTCTGTTTGCTCTGTGAAAAAATCAGTCAGCGGGAAGCAATTTCTAGTGCAAGCAATATTTTTCACCCACCAAAAGTTTCTCAGCTGTCGCCAGACTTCAAAGAAGCCATCCATTAGCTTTGGAAGGCTACAATGTTTTGTCAGGTGACAAAATCTCTTGTTCCTTGACAAGTATCCTTTGTCAGGTCATCTTATATAACAAGAATTTCTGGTCACACAAACATTTTGCGGGTCTGAGGTGCAAGCATGGTTCCAAAAATGAACCAATTACAAAAATGCCCTACTCTATTTTTTGTCGCAGTGCAAACAGGGCCTAATGTTAGAGTCATTGGTCCCAGCATAGTCAATGAACACGGTGACAATCAACAAATTTAGTGTGTTAAATCAATGCAGTTGTCTTAAAGAGAGGTCTAAATGAAAACCCAGAAGCTTTATATCGGGCTGTGTCCTAGCAGAGCCCTATGGTCCCTGATGCCTAACTTTCACTCTCGGGAGACTAGGAAATATTAGGTTTTTTCATACAAATGATAATTATGCTGGGTAACCTAGATTTAACAGTTTCAGAGCACTAGGCTCTCGTCAATATTTTCCTTAGAGCACAGCTTTGGTTATCGGCGCAAGTGTGAACATTAACTGTCAACCTTGAAAACTAAGGGCAGTTTCTAAAAGTCAGAACTGGCCAGCTGGACCATGGCTGGGCAAGTCATTTTGACAAAGAAATGGGCTTTTTCCAAAAGATTTTGCTGAAAAAATCTCCTTCATACAAACTATTAGGATTTGACTGATATGACTGGATATTTTTTATTAAAAGTGAAATTCCCAATACAACAGTGATGGTCTGGCCACTCAGTTCTGACAAATGGAAAGTGCCTGAAGATAAAAAGATAATATTTTTGTCACATTACTCGCAGGAGACGCAGCATGAAGAAGATTTTCATTTAAAGCCGACCTCCAAGACTGAAGTGTTGGACACATCAAAGTGGCCTCTCTTATTAAAGGTGAACCATCATCACATCATTGGTGTTCAACATTGTTACTTTATCTGTATAATCTACTTTCAGGAGCTCAGTTTAAAATTTTATTGCTGAAAACACATCCCCCCGAACAGGTCACTTTTTAAACCTACATGACACCCTTCTTGGCCACCATATAAATGCTGCATAATGCAAAAGCACAGAAATTCAAGAGTACTATATCATTATCACAAAACAAAGCACCCTTTTGAAGTGAACAGTTGTCTGAATTTAAGTTTTTAGTTGCTCTAATACGTCATGAATTTAAAACTCAGGAGGATCATTAACAATTCCCTAGTTTGAATTTTGATGATGTTATGTGAATACCAGCAAATTATTGCAATAATATCAACTGCACTGTACTGTGGGGTTGGGGTTCTTGTTTTGAAAAACAAAGATTTCCTAAGACAGCATTTTACTCTTTGCTTAAAAAATTAAACAAGACTTAACTAGAAGTTAAGCTTGATATTAATAATATCATTATACCGATTCATAGAGTCAGAAGGGGATTCATTCACATTCTTGCTCTTGTGATCCCCGAACACGGTAATGGTGATGTAGAATTCTAACCGAACTTGGTCATTGCTCAAAGTTCTCAAACATACTGTTGGTTGCATCTAGGCCTGAACATGTGAGGAAGAAACAATAGTTCTAATTGGATGCAAACATGACACGTTTTGCCGCCAAGCATTCAAAGTTTAGAGCAGGCGACTGTTGTTGACTTAATTTGTTGTTCGCTCAACAAAATATTCTTTGCAAGAATTTGTAGACATTAAGTATTATTTCTGGAAGCAAGTGTGCTTTTTCTGAGCAATAAATGTGCCTGAAAGTTGATAAAAATGAAATATGAGTAGAACGCACTGATCAAAAACATATAAACAACTTGCCTTTGGCGTGACCTTTTGCTTTAATGACTGTCAAACTTTAAATGTTTGGCAGCACATTGTTAGAACATGTTTTCTTGTCTCATGTCCACGCTTAGATGCAACTGGTGGTAAACTTGTTTTGGGATTTTGAATGTTTATAGTAATGCTCTGAAATAATGAAAATTTTACCTTACTTTGTTGTTGTTAACAGAACTATGACAAGCTGAATGTCAGAACTGGTCACTTTACACCTCTTCCAAATGGATGTTCGCCTTTGAAAAGGGATCTGAAAGATTATATTTCGTGAGTTGATAAGTCATTATTATGGAATGATAATTACACCACCATTTTGATTATTTCAAAGATGAGCAGATACTGGGCCAGATTACCCACTACTGTTGCATTTTATGTGTGGGGATCATTCCATAATTTTCAGTGTTCTTGTTATCAGGGGCTAACCGGTAAAAGTTGCTGCCTGAAGCAACACTTCTTACTGCCTGCAACCACTTGAAGGTTTACTAAAATTAAATAAAAAGTTTTAATAAATCCGATCCAATTCTCTCAAGGAAATAAATGAATATATGGAAAATTGCTAAAGTACACAGCTTTTCTTTTTGTGGGTCACACATTGTGGAAAGAGAACATTGAAGACAGAGTCAAAATTAATTATTGGAATTAAATGTTTTAAATTGTTGTCTAAAGATGACCATGGCCGATTTGCATAATATAGGTCTTAAAAATGAGAGAATGACGTTTCAGAGAACTTACTTCCTAAACTTCCCAGCCAGAGCAGAGCAATATCACTCACTCTACTACCCCTCTTCCCCCAAGGAAGTTTTTAGCCTTACCGGCCATGAATGGTCCCTTACCTGTTGAGCTAGAATTTAGGGAGAACACTGAATTTTGGTTTGCCAGAAGGTTCCTTTGAAAAAATTGAAGCTTGGAGAACTGTTTGTATTTCACAAGCACCTTACCAGTGTTTTTTTTTATTATTAGGAGTGGATTTATAAATCTTGACAAACCAGCCAATCCTTCATCACACGAGGTATGATTGAATTTTCTCCTAATCCTGGTTTGGTATTTTAAGAGAATTTAATAGTTCAGTGATTTTGTTATCTGCATCCTGCGTCCCTGATGCATAAAAATTCCAAAAGGTACAAAATAATTCATGGTATGCGTCCCATAGGATGCAAAGATTGATCAATTGATCTAAACATGTGTATTCATAGAAATATCCTGTTTGTGTAATTTCTGTGGCAGTTATTATGGCTGTTGTTTAACAATGCATATTTAATTTCTTTCAGCCTTTGTTGTGCTTTAAAATAGAAGGACTATATTTTAATTTCAGTATACTGTAATACAGGGCTTTCTGTCTCTGTCTGGTTACATAAACGCCCATATGCAAGCCTTATTAATTTCAGACTTGGTTTTATTTTTACTGGGACTCATTGGTTCTGGGCGAGGAGCACTCATGATTTTTCACAAGATGAGTCCCAAGACTCACCATAACTGTTTGTAACAAAATCACTGACAGGTTGTGGCTTGGATCAGAAGGATTCTTCGAGTGGAGAAAACTGGACACAGTGGAACTCTTGATCCCAAAGTGACAGGTTGTCTGATTGTCTGCATTGAGAGGGCAACAAGACTTGTTAAATCTCAACAGGGTGCAGGTAGACAATAATGGTCACATTACTTTTCTTTCTCTTTGACATGCATCTACATGTATGCAGTTATGTTTGATTGACCCATTTCACTCCTGGAAATTTTGTCAAAAAACACCATTTGTGCCAAAGTCAACCCCTTTTCTGGTCACTGTTTACCAGTAAAAAACAAAACAGCTTAAAATATTATTTTTAAGTTGAGTTCTATGCTGAAGTTTTTTCTTGATGCTAAATTATGGCTTCTGCTGTTTGGACATGTGGAGAATGCAAAATTTTGAGATAACGCTGGAATGGACTTGCATTTTTTTTCAGTTCAGAGTAAGCGCATGTACATGTACAGTAGAGTTATACTCGGACATGCCACATGGATAGAGAGGTTTTGCACTTTATAGCAAGTATACACTGTCAACGTACTGTAGTGATGTTTCCCTTCTTGTTTTGTGATTTTAGGCAAAGAGTATGTTTGTATTGTCAGGCTCCATGAAGCCATTGATAAAGTGGCAGATTTGGCAAAGGTTAGTACACACAGCATGCATTAAAACTTGCATGTAAAAGTATAATGAATTTTCAAAGAGGGTATGAGGTACATGTAAAAGGATTGTTATAACAAATAACACACATTGCTCATGAAACTGCTTGTACATTTCTGCATTATTTTGTCATTTTAACTGGTTTCTTAGCTTGTCTCTTAATGAAGGCTTATTAATGTGAACTTTCTAATTCTTTCTTTCAGACAATAGAAATGCTCACTGGAGCCTTATTCCAAAGGCCACCACTGATCTCTGCTGTGAAGAGACAACTCAGGATAAGAACAATTTATGAAAGCAAGCTTATTGACTATGATGATGAGCGGCATCTTGGTAAGTATATATACCTCCCAACTTTTTCAGAGTCAAATGCCTGAGATTTTCATCTTCTCATGACCAGAATTTTCAAAAATGTCCCAATGACTTTCAAAGTAATGTTTCCAATGATTTTCCAAAGACTTCTGGACTTTGTTGAAAATGTCCAAAGTTTTTTCCGACAACTTTTGAGGACTTCCAAAGTTATTAAAAAATAAAAATTTTAGTGTGTTTTGATACAGTTAAGACCCAAGTCAACATTGTTGTATGAAGTCAGCTTGGATGTTTCCGAAGCTATCCACTTGAAGATATCATTTACGAACGAGTTCATGATATTCATTAAATAGTTTAGGGGAAACTGAATTGAATTTTCATTATATGTGTGTATGGACAGGTCGTCCGGATTTCTGAGTCGGGCATGAGAAATTGTCCATGATGTGTGAGATCGTTGTCTCTAGTCCACAGGCATGAGATTCGCACACACAGCTGTAATGCATGAGAGTTGGCAGTAGTATGAGTACCTGCTCCAAAAGAAGAAGTACAGTTACGGATCAGAGACTTGCAAATAATTTTCTTTTTATGAAGGACAGATGTGACCAGATCACTGTTTTTGTCAGACAGTTCATAACTAGCTCATCTGACCACTGAACACACTAAGTGGGTGTTTTCTTGTTTTTTTCAGGTGTGTTTTGGGTTAGTTGTGAGGCAGGAACTTATATCAGAACCCTCTGTGTACACATTGGCTTGTTAATGGGGATCGGCGCACACATGCAGGAACTTAGGAGAGTGCGCTCTGGAATTCAGTCTGAGAATGTAAGTCAACCAATCACCCAATGCAAGCATGCTGAAATTAGAAATAGAGATTAAGTATGACTTAGAAAATAATAATATAATGGGTGCAAAAAAAGTCTGAGCCCCCAGTTGGAATCGAACCCACAACCTTCCAGATACAGATAGGACGCATTAACCACTGAGCTATGGGCGACTCACATAGCGAGCAGGTCGCAGGTTAGGACATCATCTCACGAGTACACTGGACTAAGGAAAAGCAATACACCAACTTGCTTGCATCACACAAGCACTATAAAAAAGTGTTGTGTACACCTCAAAGCCAACCATCCACCCATGCCATTAGCATGATGAAATTAGAAATAGATATTAATTACAACTGAGAAATGCTCGGGAAAAAAAACCCAAGCCCCCAAGTAAGTGATGCGGTTTTAAAAGAAGCTGAAGTCAAAATTCTACAAAATTCCAAATTTATTTCATTTTGTAAAATGCTGCAAAAATGAATAGTACCGTGTGAAAGTACTGCCATTCTTTTGAATAATCACACTGTAGGGTTTTGTCCACAGACTCAAAAGTTAGATCAACCTTGGCTTTCAAGTCTCTTTCAACCCTCAAAGTTAAAATTTTTGTTCAGTGGCCATTTGGCGATCAGCTCTTTGGGTTTAGTCGCCAGGGGAAATTTTTAGGCGCCAAATTATATTAATAAATTAATATATCAAAATTGTCCTTAACAAAAGCAGTTAGCAAGTTTAACTTAAAATGTAGCACTGTCTATAAATTACTTGTTTATTGTGCAAGGCATTAGTTACTGATAGTCTGAGAATAAGGTTTGCAGATTCATCTCCTTGAATCAATACTGAAACGGAATTGTAAAGACAATTACCATTTCCAGTTGTCTTTAGGGCCTTCAATCCTTCTGTATAATCCCCAGTTGGTATATGAGAGCAGAACTTAACTCATCCTCTGTTAATGTGTTCAAAATTTCCCAGTCGCAACTTGATAGGTGACCTTTTTTTTTTTTCTGATATTTGTTTCGCGTATCTTTTGCGACTTTTGTTGATGATGAACTTGTTTCCCCAACTAACAAATATTTTTGGAGATTTAAAAGGGCGTTTTTAATATCGCTAGACATTACGAAAGCCTGACAAAGGCAGGAGAGTAAAGGAAGATCGACAAATTTTCTAAATCAAATCATTGCTTTATAGAGATAACGTCACGCACATGAAAATATTTCGCAACGAGTTGTACTGGGAAAAAATGTTTTTCCCAATCAATTGAAAGGAACCTAAACAAAAATGCCGCTTACGAAATAATAAATTTTCTTTTTCCTTTATCATCGCTACAGGTGTTAAAAAAAACCATTTTTTGCAACAACCATAAGCTGTCAGTTTTGTGATGTTTAGTTTCGCTTACAATTATCGCTTTTGTTTACAAAACCGCGATTCAACTCGCAGCACGGTTCACATGTTACGGTTATCACATAATGTTCTGTGTTGAATTTGCACCAATTTAGCTCTCCCTCTTCATGTTATTAGATTGTTTCAGTATTGATTCAAAAATATTTGTAATATGTAGTCCAGTTAAAAAACCACCGAACTTGGCTAGACAAGCATTCCTAAGATATCGAAGAAATCGTCACTGTCAACAAGCAAGGCACTTCGATTGCGTGCCATTTGTCACGTGTCAAAAGTTAAAATGTCACGTGCAAGGCAACAGACTGAAGGCGATTAGGGGAACGAATGCAAGTCAAGTTTCATTGATGTTCATTTTCAAAACGCTTAGCTCTGGGACTGTTTTAAGTTTTCAATTTATTATATAGCATGTTTTTCAACGGAAAAGTAAAAAAGTAATGTAATTCAAATCAGCTAGAATAAATGTTCTTCATATTTCAGTAGAAGTGATTACCATTTCTGTTTCTATACGCCACAACCCGAACCTATTCTTCACGGTCGCCAGCTTGGCGACTATTCTCCAAATCAAGTCGCCAGTTCCAAAATTTTAGGTGCCATGGCGACTAAAATGGTCGCAACTTGGAGGGTTGTCTTTCATTCATTCTGTTAGTAAATAGATTAAGGGGACCAGATTCATTGAAACTTTCCTGTTTAGAGCTACAGTAAAATGGGCTACCAATAACGTGCAACTTGTTTTATAACATTGCTGCAAAACAGGTTGAAAAGCGATGTTGTGCATTTTACCAACCACGTTCAAACCTGTCTTGAGCAACAAAATTAGGTTTCAAGGTTTATTTTCATGGGTCATAAAACGCATAACATCACTATTCAACTCATTTTGCAACAAAGCCACAAAGCAAGTTGCACATTTTTTGTTGCCTATTTTACCACACCTTAACTATCAGTGTGCTTGGTGGCCTGTACATTTACATGTATATCTTACATATTTTGTAGGTCATGTTGGGCCTTATGAAAACATGGCAAATTCATTATATAAACACCACTAAAATACCACATGAGCCTTTCTGCAAAAACATGACATCTTAATGTGTGAAAGTAACATATATGTACAACCACCATATTTTTATAGAGACTGGTTCTGATATTCCGCTGAGCTACCTGCGACATAGCTGCTGGTACTGCCTGCAACACTGTTCCGATATGAGAACAGAAGTTGTCAGCAACAGAGGGCATGTCCGTCTTTACCACTGACATGCCTGTGAAGTTGACTCAAGTTCAACATCGCAGGCATGCCAGCGGTAAAGACCTGTGATGTTTCTTTTTGCCGGTGGCATTATGTCCTCACATGCCGCAGCAGTATCGCAGGCAGCATCAGTGGCTATGTCCCAGGTTCTTTGGTGGCATACATGTATGAGAACCAGGCTTAATGCATCTTATTTTCTTTTTCAGGATAATATGTCCACCATGCATGACATTCTTGATGCTCAGTGGATGTATGATAATTACAAGGATGGTAATAAAAAGTTACTTAAATTATTATTATTATTATTATTATTATTATTATTATTATTATTATTATTATTATTATTATTATTATTATTATTATTATTATTATTATTATTATTATCATTATTAATTACATGACATTATGTATAGTAGATTACTTGGAGAGCAAGGGTGGTGAAGTAGTGAAAGCACTCCACCTGACCCACCAATGTGGCTCTGGTTTGAATTTCGAAGGTAACCCCATTTGTGGGTTGAGTTTGCTGTTGGTTCCCTTCCAAGCTCCATTAATTTTTTTGCTGTTCACCTTGATTTTTCCCTTTCCCATAAACCAATGTTTCCAAATTCCACTACGATCAGGATAGTGGATGAAAAATCACTACATGTGTGGATGTGTTTTGCTTATTTATTTCTTTAGTTTTTAATATTATAACAGACTGGTTATTAAGTAAGGTTCAAACCCCGTTGAAGTCCTGAATTTTTTCAGGCTTCTTTACGCAATTGCATAAATTGCATTCACTGCGACGATCATTTCTTCATTTTCATTTCATTTCCACAGTTCATATATGATTTATTAATTCATATATCATTAACACTCATTTATTTCACTGGAACATATGAACCCACAATTGACCTGCTCCCAACGTAAGTGGCTTCATAGCTCAGTTGGTAGAGCATCGCACCGGTAATTGCGAGGTCACGGGTTCAAACCCCGTTGAAGTCCTGAATTTTTTTCAGGCTTCTTTACGCAATTGCATAAATTCACTCACTGCGACAATCATTTCGTCATTTTCAGACTATGGTTATTTTTTCAAACCCTCTTTTATTTTTATTTTTATATCAGTTTAGTAGTGTTTAAATACAGAATGACCATACCAATGCATTTGTAACATATTTTTTTTCCAGAGTCCTACCTCCGCCGCTGTATCAAACCACTTGAAGCCTTGCTGACCTCTCACAAGCGTTTGGTTGTAAAAGATAGTGCTGTAAGTGAGAAGTTGTTTTCTGATCAGTAATTATCAGCTGTGTACATTTTTCTGTTAAGTTGTGTTGCTAGCTTTAAAAAGACAAAGCATAAAGTGATGCCTCTGCTCACTGAAATAACCAAAGGCTATACAGATAATATGTTGAGGTTCACTTACTCTGAATTCCAGGCCCTACTGCTGGCTGGTCCCAGATTTGATTTTAAATTTTATTGTGATTAACTAGTGTTAATCTTCCATGTTTAATTTTTGTGTTTTAGGTGAATGCTATTTGTTATGGGGCTAAGCTTATGCTCCCCGGTCTCCTGAGATACGAGTCTGGGATAGAAATGAATGAAGAGATAGTTATTATGACAACCAAAGGAGAAGCTATTGCTCTAGGTGAGTGCAGGGTTTTCATTAAGAATTCTAGTAGCAGGAGAAAGGTTTATACAGGAGAATATTCTGAAAGAGGCTCCACGTCTGAATAAAAAAACAATAGTCATAGGCCACCGAACATTAGCAGGAGAAATCTGCATAGTAAACAGGGAATCTGCGATCTCCGATGTCTAATCAACACCCTGTGAGTGTCAGTCAGTTACTATTCAAAGTGATTAATAAGTCATTGGCCAGTTAGCCAACAATTAAATCATACAGTTAGCGAAGCAGTAAGTTGTACACTGTACATCAGCATTATTAAACAGTGAGTCAGTAATCCAGTATTGATAAATCATTTTGATCAACAATTAGGTATTGGTCAGTCAACCAGTAGTCATTTGTTAGCGGCATCTTTAACAAGATTAATTAGACAACCATGACACTTTCTCTTAAACAGAATAATTATAATGATAATAATAATAATAATAATAGTAATAACGATAATTGATTGTTTATCCAGGATAATCCTTCGGTACCAAGTACAGTTATCAACAGGGTCCTGCTGACTATTGATTATTAATAACTAATAATAATAAATAAAATAAATAAGACTAACAGAAATATATGAGAGCAGACATGCACTAAGTTGATAATCGTTTAAATCTACAATATTTATTAAATTACAATATAATAGTCGTTCAAGGCTTTCCTAAAGAAAACTCTAGAATTAATGTTTCCTTAAATTTAAAGGCAATGAATTAAATATCAAGGTACCTAAAAAATAAAAACTATGGAGTGCAAAATCCAGTTTGACCTTGGGCATTGTTGCTGTTTTTCCATTGTTTATAGTGTTTAAAGCATTATGATGTAATCTTTGAAAATAATAATTCTTAAATGAAAAACATGCAGTTCCATTTAGACTTGGAAGGCAATAAAGTATAATCAGCTCAGTTCTGATGTCAGTATTTTATTCCACTTGTCTTAAAGTCAAGTTAGTAGAAAAGTGTTTCTAACAATGTGTTCTTGATTGTTAGGAATTGCTCTTATGACAACAGCAGTCATGGCGGCATGTGACCATGGTGTTGTAGCAAAGATCAAGAGGGTGATTATGGAAAGAGATACATACCCCAGAAAATGGGGCCTAGGACCCAAGGTATGAAGACGTAATTTGAATAATTATTGTTCTGATGTAATATTTTATAATCAAATATATAAATCAGAGACAATAAGGCAGAGCTGAGATTTCCTAGACNGTTTGACCTTGGGCATTGTTGCTGTTTTTCCATTGTTTATAGTGTTTAAAGCATTATGATGTAATCTTTGAAAATAATAATTCTTAAATGAAAAACATGCAGTTCCATTTAGACTTGGAAGGCAATAAAGTATAATCAGCTCAGTTCTGATGTCAGTATTTTATTCCACTTGTCTTAAAGTCAAGTTAGTAGAAAAGTGTTTCTAACAATGTGTTCTTGATTGTTAGGAATTGCTCTTATGACAACAGCAGTCATGGCGGCATGTGACCATGGTGTTGTAGCAAAGATCAAGAGGGTGATTATGGAAAGAGATACATACCCCAGAAAATGGGGCCTAGGACCCAAGGTATGAAGACGTAATTTGAATAATTATTGTTCTGATGTAATATTTTATAATCAAATATATAAATCAGAGACAATAAGGCAGAGCTGAGATTTCCTAGACTTAGGGAATGAAATTACACCTTTATTTAGGCACCAATGTCAGCGCTCGAAAAAACCTGAATTCCAGCACGCACGTCCTTTGGGCAAACAGCTCTCTCATTTGCTTGCCTTTGGTAACTACTTCCTTGTCTTTGGTAATGATTTAGTTGGAGCATGACTTGCCTGGACCCTTCTTTGCCCATCGGGCAAGTGAGCTTTAACACTTTCACTGCCAAATTTAGCCAAAAGCAAATTTCGACCAAATTTCCAAATTTTATTTTGTCAAATTTTGAAGAACAAATGGCACCATGTAAAAGTGCAGGCAGAGAGCTTTTATTGAATGGTCACATCATAAGATTTCGTCCACAGACTCAAAAGTTAGAGTCACCTTACAAAACTCCATCAAATACTCTGGCAGTGAAAGGGTTGAAAGTTACTTGTCCAACAAGAAAATATACCAATCCCGGACGACCGGATGGGACTTTTTTTGAGCCGTGAATGTGTCTTAATTCCTCACCTCGGTGATCAAATCCTGAAAGTTACCCGCAGTTGACAAATTGGTGACTAGAGTTTGTTGCTGATACCCTACATGAAGATGTAATGGACTGTTCCAGATATGTAAAATTACAAGAACATCTGTGGCAGTGTTTTTGGCATCCAAAATCTTTGCTTGTGGCCGAAACCCAGCATTCTTTACAAAGGTAGATACATTGTATATCCTGTCCTATAGTGTCCCTTTTTAGTAGTTTAACTTTGAAAGAGGTTCGGTGTTGGTAACCATGCGATTTTGTTTGGTTTTATTTCTTAGGCTCTGCAAAAAAAGCAGTTGATCGCCTCTGGTAAACTGGACAAACGTGGTCGACCAAATGAGAACACACCCAAGGAATGGATTGAAAGCCATCCTGATCTCAGGTTAGTACTTACTTAACAAGTTGACAACAACTTTCCATGATCTGTTTAACAAAATTAATAGATTCCATGTTGCCGTCTGTGATCTATTCACTGAACAGGCCACTTCAACATGAAATTTATTTGTTTTATACCATGATCAGAAAAAAAGCGCCAATGCAAATACCTGCCTCATACACTAAGGCAACTGTTGTGATGATTTCTTTCAGTTTGGGCATTCTCAAGTTGTCAAGAACTCTTTTTGTCTTCATTTCTCCATTATTAATCTTTGTAAATAGCTCCTTTTAAACTTTTTTCGAGGCTTTCACATAATCTCACAAACATTTTCAAAACCGCACGACATGTTGAACAAAACAAAGAGAACAAGTTTCCCTTGACATCATCCATGCATTTGTGCAGTGGAACCTCGAAGGGCCAAGGAACTTTTAAAAATAATATGTTCGCTATAACGAGGTTTCGTTATATCGAGGTTCTTTTCCATATATTTTACTATCCCTGTGGTAAAAACAATGTGACCTGTATTTTAGACCTACCATTGCTTTGTTTTTGTTGTCTTTTGTTGTTGCGCCAGAATACCACTTTAAGTCTTTTGTGGCTGTCAGTGATAAATCCAATTCTTTCCTTCTGTAGTACACAGAAATCCCCAATATCGTCACAAGAACTTTCAACACCCAAAGAAACTAGTGAGGCTGTGCAGGTGAAACAAGAACCAGTTCCTGGTGCACCTGTGACACCTCAAGAAGTAGAAGAAAGAAAAAAGGTACGTTGCTGTAAATACAGGGTGTGGAAGTGGAGATATTATTCCGCTTCCCGGGTAGTAGTCAAATCCCGTTGAACCATTTTGCATTTTCCTGAATCCTGTACTGTATTTCGGTCCAATCCCAGATCCCGAGAATACCCTTCCAGACCCTGTAAATTAATCGAGTCATTATGGCACGTTTCTTCTCCCCAAGTGGGGAACAGGGCGGAAATCGTCTTTCTTCCAACTTTAAACATGTTTCTGTAATCCGTGATAGTATCACAGTGAGGGGCCATTGGCCCCATGCCAAACCCCCAACTTGGAATGACAGCCCAGAGGCTGTTTTTAGATTGGCCTCTCACCCTTGACTATTCCGGCTTGGTTAGACCTACCAGGAGTAAAATCCGCCGGCGTAGCTCTTGGGCTGTTTAAGGTCCCCTAGCTTCACCGCCACGAGATGGCGATGACCATAGGGTGAAAATATACGATAGTAAGTCTCTCGGCATCATCAAGGCTCACAGTCTTCGCCACCATAACCAAAGGCAGACCAACATCTGTTTACGTGGCCGTGGTTGTCATTTAAATCTGAGCATCGATCTTTTGTATTCAGTAGAAGAAATACAGATGAGCATTACGGCGGCTACAATTTGCTCCAAAATACAGACAACTGCCACACGATACGAACAGAGGGTGGGAAAAACCCAGGGTAGAGCCTGTAAATAGACGATGGCTGATATAATTAGCCTTTGTACAGACAAAATCGCGGCTGTGCACCCTATTTCCGCGTTATTTTTCTTGGGGTACATTTATTTGTCTGTCTCACATACCGAGATATTAACCATAGCATTGACTTTACGCGGAAGTTGCCGTGTGCATTGCGTCTTGTCCCCGAAAAAATTTCACAACCACTGTACCGTGAGGCTCGTAAGCCCAACCCAAGAATATCGGCAGCTATCATGGCCGATTCTTTTCTGCCTGCTTGCTCATTGATGATTTGTCCTCGAACAGAGAAAACGAGACACGGAGGGAAGCGATGAAGATAAGGATACGCCGAGCAAACATGATAAAAAGAAATCCAAAAAAGACAAAAAGAAGGCCAAAGAAAAAGAGAAAGAAAGCTCTGACGAAGTAAGTAATAGTATTTATATGATTTTTCTTTGACAACTAACTTTTTTATAGTAGCCCTTCATGAATCAGTAAGTCATCCTGGATCAGCCAAGATCTGAGTTGATATATCCCACTTTTGATTAGTTTATCTGGCTTCAATTGACCATATTAATTTGTTATCCTTCCTTCCCTGTAACAGGAAAAGAAAGAAAAGAAAAAGAAGAAAAAGAAGAAAGAAAAGGAGAAAGAGAAGGCTAAGAAATCTGATTCAGACTCTTCAGACTAAGTAAAAAATCTCCAAGATGCTCCTCTTTTTAAGACAAGTCGCCCAATCTCAAGACAAATCGCCCAAACGTACACTACAGGAAACGTTCAGCGGTGAGATGCCCCGCTATTGCTCTAGTGCTGTCTGTGAGCCCAGGTTACCATCGTTGGAGTGTTTTGTCCAGGGCGAGTTGTCTTTAGAGCGTTTTGGCCTGCTATAGGATTTAGCGTTGTACATACGTGCATGTCGATGAAAATAACTGACACTGATTTTATCAGTCAATGGCAAGCTAGTGTAATCTTCAGGTAGCTGTGACTGACGCTAGTGAAAACGGTTTCATTGGGGTAGCTGCTAGTTTTACCGCTAGTAGTTCTTCGGCATAGGAAAGGGAAAAAGGCTACGCCTTCTTAAGTAGGAACCATTGGCCTCGAAGCCAGAAATGAAAATTACGGAAAACGCGATGATACTTTTCAAATTTTCCGGGCAATTTTTTTTACGAATAGCGGTAGAAAAACGGTTTCTACACCCAACAGTTCCCCCAACGAGATCCTGTTTGTAAAATCAAAAAGTTAAAAACAAAAAGAGAGGATTTAAGAGTAGAATGTAGCAATAAAAAAATAGTGCTTCCAATCTGGACAGAAAGATACCTCAGAGTCGTTTGCCGTGCGTCAATTTTACACTGAGTGTTAAAAAGAATACAAACGTTGTAACTTGGGTGTTTATCTGAATTTCAAGCGGAGTGTTATCTTTGTAATATATTCTTACTCTTTTTTATCTTCAAATCTCTCATGTAACAATGTTTACTTCCCCAGTGAATAAAATGTGTAATAGCAATCAGGGTCCGTGTGTTTCTAATGATCCTTTCAAATCTATTCCTAATCCCAAAAGAAACACGAAGCGTGACATACGTAGCAACAGAATTTATTACGCAATATTCAAGCGTGTACAATCCTCATTATACAATATAAAAAGACTGGGAAGTCAATAAACTTAATACAACGTTTTGAAACCGTTAAACACTAGCTTATGACGCATGCGTTAAGAAGGTAAAAATACAACGAATCTGTTTCGTATAAGCTGCACACGATTAATCCATTTTCCGAACACATCGTATCAAGAAAAAGCAACTTAGAAAACCTGCGTTACGTTTCTTTCATTACCCTTAATATAGAATTATAAACTTAATTTACAATTAATACATCTTGCTCTAAGAAGGTGAAATACAATGAATCCCTTTTCGCATAAAATGCTTACGATTCCTAACACGTCATAACAAGAAAAAAAAAACTTAGAAAAGCTACCTAATGTTTCTTTCCTTAATCTTATTTTAGGATAAAAACCTAATTTACAGTTAATACATCTAGAGCTTCTTTCCGCATGGTGTAAGTCTATTTTGAACAAGTTGTAAGCGAATATTTCACAGTGCATAACTCGCATTTCACAGTACAACACCTCACAAATTTACATCTGCACTTGACCTGTTTGTAATGTTCTTTGGTTTGAGCCCGCAAGTTACAAGATTGACAAAGAGATCTGCATTCCTTAGTGTGTCCAGCGTCACTTGTACAGGTTCTTCCCAGCATTCCAAGAGAGCCAGCAGTAGTATTTCGTACGCAGTAGTCTGGGGACGAGTCTAAGTAAACAAGCTTCTTGGATTTCCTTGATATCGGTCTGTCCCGGCCTTCTTTCTCGTGAAGTTTGTTGTTTTTGAATGACACTGGAACGGCTGTGAGGTACTTCTGCTTGAGCGTTGATCCAACGACGGCAAAAGGAGCCAGCTGCTTCCAGCAGGTTTTCAAGTTACAACTGCCAGTGACGCCATGGCACTTGCATTCTTTTTTGAGGCTTCCTCGAACAACCTGTTTTAAACAAATAACAATAACTCTGTCAGACCATTGTAGTTAAAACTGGCAAGACAAAAGTACTGCTGGGTAAAGTTTGCGCTCGAGTCAGTCAATGTAGGTCATCGTGCATGTTTAATTACAGGACTTGGAAATTGAAAAGTAGCGCAATTTGCGGTTGTACAAAGGAAGTCTAAGAAACTGTGGTATGTCCCACGAGATTTGATGGATTCTTTTTAAACGATGACGAAGAAATTCCCTATGGACGACAAAATCTCAGCCACAAAATCCCGAGCATTATACCAAACGATATAAACAACGAAAATGAACTTAGAAAAAAAATTGTTATGCTAACAAGTTTTCAAAAACCCACAACTTCATCAAACCTTTGTCCATCCGGGCCTACTTTTTAGGTAGTTCCTTCTGTTAGAATTTTGGCATAATTCGTAACATAACTCATTTAACTTTTTAAATCTTCTACCCCTTAAGATTGGTGACGACACACATTTGCCGATTTTTTTCGAAGGATAAATAGTGTCGAGTCAGTTTACCTTTCTTCCCACTTGATTATTATGCAGGTTGAATGCTGTGCGAGCGTCGTTTCCTTTCTCTAGTCTGTCGATGAAGCGTCTCGTCTCCTTTTCTCCATATTTGGTGTTATCGCTGCAGCCGCCCCATTCCCACTCACGGTCTCCTTGCAGCTGTTTTCTTGTTTTCCCGCATCTACATCCGGGGATTCTATTGCGCGCGCATTGAAGAGTGATCTCGTGTGTAATGGCGGCGCTGCTGATGGCGTGAAGGAAAGCGGTTTCCCGAGTGGCTGTAAAGATTAAAAGATTACATTGGATCATTATACGTTTCTGGGAAACTGCCCACCTACCCGTCCCCTAAGCCAACATTAACACTTACTTCTCACTTAAGCCAAAATGTTGGCTTAGGGAAGGGGTAGGTGGACATTTTCCATAGATCAATTGTTATCAGAGGTTCACCGAGAGTCTCTTTATGGCAAAGGGGAATCCTTGATGATGATCAGTCATGCAAGGCACTGTTGTATTCTTGACACCAGCTTAGACTTGGCTTCGCCTTTTTTGGAAGAATTGCTCTTTAAGCATAAGCTTTTATCAGCTTTTATCCTGTGAACCATTCGCGCTAAACCAGAATTATGTGTAAAACTGTTTAGTCAGACTAAGTTTCTGTCTTTCATAAAAGTTGCCATTCAAACTTGCTCGAGAGAAATTTCCAGTATTTAACGTTGCACGTGAGTTTACAGTCTCTGCAGACAGTACTTTAAAAACATTGAGCAGGAAGTCTCTGGTTGATTTTGAAGGTTCTTAGATTACAAATATATCTGATATCTTGATATTCCCAAGTTCGTCTCTTAGTTTCCTGTTTAGTTATTACTTAAAGTTTTCAGTTGTCGAACCATATTCACTGGCTGTTGGCCTTATCTTAAACAACAAAATGNCCGCCCCATTCCCACTCACGGTCTCCTTGCAGCTGTTTTCTTGTTTTCCCGCATCTACATCCGGGGATTCTATTGCGCGCGCATTGAAGAGTGATCTCGTGTGTAATGGCGGCGCTGCTGATGGCGTGAAGGAAAGCGGTTTCCCGAGTGGCTGTAAAGATTAAAAGATTACATTGGATCATTATACGTTTCTGGGAAACTGCCCACCTACCCGTCCCCTAAGCCAACATTAACACTTACTTCTCACTTAAGCCAAAATGTTGGCTTAGGGAAGGGGTAGGTGGACATTTTCCATAGATCAATTGTTATCAGAGGTTCACCGAGAGTCTCTTTATGGCAAAGGGGAATCCTTGATGATGATCAGTCATGCAAGGCACTGTTGTATTCTTGACACCAGCTTAGACTTGGCTTCGCCTTTTTTGGAAGAATTGCTCTTTAAGCATAAGCTTTTATCAGCTTTTATCCTGTGAACCATTCGCGCTAAACCAGAATTATGTGTAAAACTGTTTAGTCAGACTAAGTTTCTGTCTTTCATAAAAGTTGCCATTCAAACTTGCTCGAGAGAAATTTCCAGTATTTAACGTTGCACGTGAGTTTACAGTCTCTGCAGACAGTACTTTAAAAACATTGAGCAGGAAGTCTCTGGTTGATTTTGAAGGTTCTTAGATTACAAATATATCTGATATCTTGATATTCCCAAGTTCGTCTCTTAGTTTCCTGTTTAGTTATTACTTAAAGTTTTCAGTTGTCGAACCATATTCACTGGCTGTTGGCCTTATCTTAAACAACAAAATGTTTGATACTCACCCTGTGGTAAAGTGGTTTTAACAAAGATAGGCAACTGTTGAAACACATTTTTGTTGACCAGGGAACAGTTCCATATCTCTTTCTTAAACTGTCTCTGACATTCCTGTAATCCACGATGACCTCCCTCTTTGACAATGCGCAGTAACAAAGGATAATTCTAGCAATAAAAAGAAGAGTTAAAGAATCAGAAAAATATCGACACGAAATTATCTGAACTTTTTAAACTATGTGTATACAGGATAAGGAAATTCTTGGAGCCATCAACAGTTGTTTCGCGAAGGAATAAAACTATCCGAAAAGCTTTTGTAAGTTACAGGCCAGACGTTCGAATGATATACTATGATGCCACAAGAGAGAATGAGCTAAGAGAGCGAATCCCTGTGACCCATGATAATTTTTTAAAATCTAATCGAAAAAACAAATTACAAAGGTTAACCAAACCGTTCGGCAGAGTTGCAGTAATCTTAGGGAGGTGCTGTATGTTATTTCATTTCATTTTCACTTGCATCGCTAACCAACTTTGTATTGAAACTTACCTTGTTTTGAAGGGTGTTGCTTGAAGAGTCGCCGGATCTGAAACAATAACACAAAATAAAATTTAAGTTGTCAAGAATAATCGTAGACTCCGGGCAAATACTCTACTCTTTCACTGGTCGGGTGTTGGATCTGACTATCAACTATAGTTGTAATATTTCCGTGAAAACTAGTTTGCTCTGAGCCTAAAATACTCCTCGACAGCGTTATTTTTCTTCATCTTTATGTTTAACTTTTCCGCTGTTCCCAATTTAGTTTAATACGGTTGGAAATACTGTCAAATACCATACTTTAACGTTATCACAATTCTTTCATCAAACAAGTATTAAATCTAACTTTCAACTAGCGTGGTAATATTTCTGTGAAAACTTTATGTTCCAACGTTTACTCTGTCTTTCCTCGGAACTTAGTTACGTTTGGAAATTTTATGAAATTGTAATTGTAGTTTGCCTGTGTTTTCGGTTAAGATTTAGGGCGGGAAGCGAGGCTCTCGGCTTCCACGCACGTAAATTGTCTCACTTGCTTTTAACGTAAAGTTAGTAACACGGAATTGACTTATTACGTATCAACGCCTGGCTTACGAAGTGTTACTTTTGTGTCTTTCTGCCTAAAACTTTTACTTTCCTGTCGTCCGCAACTTAGTCCAGTACGCTTGGAATATTATTTACTTGTCGCCTTCCACGCGCATCCTTTTTTTTGTACTTGCTTCTAACATAAGGTTTATAAAAGAAGTTTAACTTACCTGCTTTTACAGAGTCCTTGCTGTGTCAGAAACAAAACGAAAAGAACCACAGAGAACATCATAGTAAGCTTCATACTGAACGTTTGATCTTCTTTCTTTGAGAGATGAAATCACCTGTTTACGAGTTTGTAAGATCTGTCTTTATATACCTGAGGAACTTGTTGTTTGATAAAATCAATCACAAAAGGTTGATTAATTGAACACGCGAACAAAAGAAAAGCAACTCGCGCGAAACGAGGTGCGAGTTACTAGCATAAATTAGAGAGGTGAGATGTTTATTGACGTAATGACAGAGGTGAGACTTTTTGAAAACAATCAGATTGAAAACAAAGTTTTGATCTAGTTTTTCATTTTTTCTCGCAAGTAATTTTGACATGGTTCGCTTTTTAGTTCTACATGAGTCCAAAGAAACAGTTATTGTATTATTCAACCTGGTGTAAAACCGGATGTGTTAGACCGAAGTTCTTTTCTATCGTACATCCAAAAGTAGCAAAATGCTCTCTCACATAAATGAGAATGTTCATTTCATCAACTGTTCCGGAGCATGCACTAGCTGTTCGAATATCTTCTATGCAGTAATGAAGTCTTACAAGTCCGTTTACAATTCATTCTCTTTTTCCATCGAAATACACTACAAGCGCGCGACAGTTGAAAAATATCGAAATATTTCAGCGTATATTTGCGCAGATAGTTTTATCAACTGAGTTGGTAAAATCAATTGTCCACGGTGTTTAGACAACCTCGTCGGCTAGGCTTTTCCTTGAGAGAAAAGATTCAGTTTAATCTTTTATTTTATTTAAACGCCTTTGTTTTCTTGACTTGATAATGACGTCCGAGCACGTCGAAACGTTGTAGCGTATTTTTTAACGTTTTTAAAATTTCTTAAAATGTTTTTAAGAAAAATTTTTTCCCAATCTTTTATAGCTAACTGATTTGATTTATGATGGGCAGTTTACTTAAATGTAGTTTTTTGTGTTAGATGCATAACTTTTTTTTGAGAGCAGGTTTTTATATGAAAAAATGTTCGAGAGGATTGATTAACTTAAACCCTCGGATGAGCTCGAAAATTTGTCTTATTATTCCAAAAACAACTTGCTTGAAAAGGGAAATTTGCGATTGGTAGTATAACAAGCAATATCACTCCCTGATTACGATTAACCTGGCAATTTTTTCCCCACAAAGCCTGTCCATTCATAGCGTACTCTCCAGTAGACCATTTTTAATGCTGGCAAATAAAGAACTTTCTGTGGAACTTGCTGAAGAAGAAAAGTATTACTTTATTTATTTAAGAAATGGGCGTTTGTGCGCCCATGTTACACCGAATGTTAATAAGAATACAAACGTTGTAACTTGGGTATTTATCCGAGGTTCAAGCGGGATGTTATCTTTGTAATATACTTCTTACTCTTTTTTATTTTCAAATCTCTCATGTTACCATGTGTACGTTCCCAGTGAATAAAATTTTTAATAGCAATCAGGGCCGTGTGTTTCCTTTCAAATCTATTCCCAAACCCGTAAGAAACACGAAGCGTGACATACATAGCAACAGAATTTATTACACAATATTCAAGCGAGTAGATCCCTCATTATACAATATAAAAAGACTAGGAAGTCAAGAAACTACAGATAGTTAAATACAACGTTTGAAACCGCTAAACACTAGCTTATGGCGCATGCTTTAAGAAAGTGAAATTACAATGAATCTGTTTCTTATAAGATGCACACGATGAATCAATTTCCGAACTTATTGTAAGAAGAAAAAGCAACTTAGAAAAACTGCGAAATGTTTCTTATTAATTTACAATTAATACATCTAGAACTTCTTACTCTAAGAAGGTGAAATACAATGAATCCCCTTTCGCATAAAATGCTCACGGTTCCTAGCACTTCATAACAAAAACTACCTAATGTTTCTTTCCATAACCTTATTTTAAGATAAAAACTTAATTTACAATTGCTACATCTAGAACTTCTTTCCGCATGGTGTTAGTCTATTTTGAACAAGTTGTAAGCGAATATTTGACAGTACATAACTCGCATTTCACAGTACAGCACCACACAAATTTACATCTGCACTTGACCTGTTTGTAATGTTCTTTGGTTTGAGCCCGCAAGTTACAAGATTGACAAAGAGATCTGCATTCCTTGGTGTGTCCAGCGTCACTTGTACAGGTCCTACCCAGCATTCCAAGAGATCCAGCAGTAGTGTTTCGTACGCAGTAGTCTGGGGACGAGTCTAAGTAAACAAGCTTCTTGGATTTCCTTGATATCGGTCTGTCCCGGCTGTCTTTCTCGTGAAGTTTGTTGTTTTTGAATGACACTGGAACAGCTGTGAGGTATTTCTGTTTGAGCACTGATCCGACGACGGCGAAAGGAGCCAGCTGCTTCCAGCAGGTTTTCAAGTTACAACTACCAGTGACGCCATGACACTTGCATTCTTTTTTGAGACTTCCTCGTACAACCTGTTTTAAACAAAGAAGAATCGCTCTATCAGACCATTATAGTTAAAACTTGCAAGACAAAAGCACTGCTGGGTAAAGTTTGCGCTCGATTCAATCAATGTATGTCCCACGAGATTTGATGGATTCTTTTTAAAACGATGACGAAGAAATTCCCTATGGACGACAAAATCTCAGCCACAAAATCCCGGGCATTATACCAAACGATATAAACAACGAAAATGAACTTACTACTTTTTTATGTAGTTCCTTCTGTTAGAATTTTGGCATAATTCGTAACATAGCTCCTTTAACTTTTTAAATCTTCCACCTCTTATGATCGGTCTTGACACACATTTGTCGATTTTTTTCGAAAGATAAATAGTGTCGAGTCAGTTTACCTTTCTTCCCACTTGATTATTATGCAGGTTGAATGCTGTGCGAGCGTCGTTTCCTTTCTCTAGTCTGTCGATGAAACGTCTTGTCTCCTTTTCTCCATATTTGGTGTTATCGCTGCAGCCGCCCCATTCCCACTCACGGTCTCCTTGCAGCTGTTTTCTTGTTTTCCCGCATCTACATCCGGGGATTCTATTGCGCGCGCATTGAAGAGTGATCTCGTGTGTAATGGCGGCGCTGCTGATGGCGTGAAGAAAAGCGGTTTCCCGAGTGGCTGTAAAGATTTAAAGATTACAGTGGATCATTATATGTTTTTGGGAAAATGCCCACCTACCCCTCCCCTAAACCAGCAATTTGCCTTAATTGAGAAGTAAGTGTTAATGTTGGCCTAGGTACATTAGCAACATAGATCAATTGTTATCAGAGGTTCACCGAGAGTCTCTTTATGGCAACGGGCAGTCCTTGATGATGATCAGTTATGCAAGGCTCTGTCGTATTCTTGACACCAGCTAAGACTTAGCTTCGCCTTTTTTGGAAGAACTGCTCTGTGTAAAACTGTTTAGTCAGACTAAGTTGCCATGCAAACTTCCTCGAGAGAAAAAAAAATTAACAAAAATTTCCAATATTTAACGTCGCACGTGAGTTTACAGTTTCTGCAGATAGTACTTAAAAAACATTGAGCGGAAAGTCTCTGGAGCCCGTTTGGGCTCTGGTTGATTTTGAAGGTTGTTACATTATAAATATCTCTGGTATCTTGATATTCCTAAGTCAGTCCCTTAGTTTTTTGTTTAGTTGTTACTAAAAGTTTTCAGTTTTCGATCCATATTCACTGGCTGTTGGCCTTATCTTAAACAACAAAATGTCCGATACTCACCCTGTGGCAAAGTGGTTTTAACAAAGATAGGCAACTGCTGAAACACATTTTTGTTGACCAGGGAACAGTTCCATATCTCTTTCTTAAACTGCTTCTGACATTCCTGTAATCCACGATGGCCTCCCTCTTTGACAATGCGCAGTAACAAAGGATAATTCTAGCATTAAAAAGAAGAGTTAAAAAATTAGAAAAATATCGACACGAAATTATCTGAACTTTTTAAACTATGTGTAAACAGGATAAGGAAATTCGTGGAGCAATTAACAGTTGTTTCGCGAAGGAATAAAACTATTAGAAAAGCTTTTATAAGTTACAGGCCAGGCGTTCGAATGATATACTATGATGCCACAAGAGAGAATGGGCTAAGAGAGCGAATCCCTGTGACCCATGATAATTTTTTAAAATCTAATCGAAAAACCAAATTACAAAGGTTAACCAAACCGTTCGGCAGAGTTGCAGTAATCTTAGGGAGGTGCTGTATGTTATTTCATGTAATTTCGACTTGCATCGCTAACCGACTTTGTATTGAAACATACCTTGTTTTGAAGGGTGTTGCTTGAAGAGTCGCCGGATCTGAAACAATAACACAAAATAAAATGTTAGTTGTCAATAATAATCGTAGACTACGGGCAAATACTGTACTCTTCACTGATCGAGTGTTGCATCTGACTATCAACTATAGTTGTAATATTTCCGTGAAAACTAATATGCTCTGAGCCTAAAATACTCCTCGACAACGTTATTTTTCTTCATCTTTGTTTCAACTTTAACTTTCCCACTCTTCGCAATTTAGTCACGCTTGAGAATACTGTCAAATACCGTATTTCAACGTTATCACAATTCTTTCATCAAACAAGTATTAGATCTAACTTTCAACTAGCGTGGTAATATTTCTGTGAAAACTTTATGTTCCAACTTTTGCTCTGTCGTTCCTCGGAACTTAGTTACGTTTGGAAATTTTATGAAATTATAACTGTAGTTTGCCTGTGTTTTCGGGTAAGATTTAGGGCGGGAAGCGAGGCTCTCGGCTTCCACGCGCGTAAATTGTCTCACTTGCTTTTAACGTAAAGTTAGTAACACGAAATTAACGTACTACGTATCATCGCCTGGCTTACGAAGTGTTGCTTTTGTGTCTTTCTGCCTTAAACTTTTACTTTCCTGTCGTCTGCAACTTAGTGCAGTACGCTTGGAATATTATTTGCTTGTCGCCTTCCACGCGCATCTTTTTTTGTACTTGCTTCTAACATGAGGTTGATGGAAGAAGTTTAACTTACCTGCTTTTACAGAGTCCTTGCTGTGTCAGAAACAAAACGAAAAGAACCACAGAGAACATCATAGTAAGCTTCATACTGAACGTTTGATCTTCTTTGTTTGAGAGATGAAATCAACTGTTTACGAGTTTGTAAGATCTGTCTTTATATACCCGACTAACTTGTTATTTGATAAAATCAATCACAAAAGGTTGATTAATTAAGCACGCGAACAAAAGAAAAGCAACTCGCGCGAAACGAGGTGCGAGTTACTAGCATAAATTAGAGAGGTGAGATGTTTATTGACGTAATGACAGAGGTGAGACTTTTTGAAAACAATCACATTGAAAACAAAGTTTTTGAACTAGTTTTCCAGTTTTTTTGGCAAGTAATTTTGAAATGGTTCGACTTTTAGTTCTACATGAGTCCAGAGAAACAGTTATTGTATTATTCAACCTCGTGTAAAACCGGATGTGTTAGACCGAAGTTCTTTTCCATCGTACATCTAAAAGTAGCAAAATCCTCTGTCACATAAATGAGAATGTTCATTTCATCAACTGTTCCGGAGCAGGCACTAGCTGTTCGAATATTTTCTATGCAGTAATAATGAAGTCTTGCGAGTCCGTTTACAATTCATTCGCACTACACGCGCGCGATAGTTGAAAAATATTGAAATATTTCGGCGTATATTTGCGCAGATAGTTTTATCAACTGAGTTACTAAAATCAATTGTCCACGGTGTTAAGACAACCTCGTCGGCTAGGCTTTTCCATGAGAGAAAAGATTCAGTTTAATCTTTTATTTTATTTAAACGCCTTAATTTTCTTGACTTGATAATGACGTCCGAGCACGTCGAAACGTTGTGGCATATTTTTTAACGTTTTAAAAATTTCTTAAAATGTTTTTAAGAAAAAACTTTTCCCAATCTTTTATAGCTAACTGATTTGATTTATGATGGGCAGTTAAGTTAAATGTACTTTTTTGTGTTAGACACATAACTTTTTTAAAAAAATAGCAAGTTTTTGTATGAAAAAATTTTCGACAGGATCGATCAACTTAAACCCTCGGATGAGCTCGAAAATTTGTCTTATTATTCCAAAAACAACTTGCTTGAAAAGGGAAATTTGCGATTGGCAGTATAACAAGCAATGTCACTCCCTGATTACGATTAACCTTGCAATTTTTTCACCACAAAGCCTGTCCATTCATAGCGTACTCTCCTGTAGACCATTTTTAATGCAAGCAAATAAAGAATTTGCTGTGGAACTTGCTGAAGAAGAATAGCATTACTTTATTTTTGTCCACAATGAAAACAAATGGCAACACCGACGAATGCAGACCTAATACGTTCCTTCATTGTCCTCTGACAAGTTAGACTGTGAGCCGTCTCTCCTTTACATCAGATTTTGTGAGGGAAGAGCACGCGCGCGCGAGCGGTGAAGCGTGGTCATTTTCGCATAGTCAGTTCCGTGTCTCGTGCGTTGAGCTCAACGGACGAAGAAAAAAGAGAGACTCTTCGTAGTCTACAAGAAAGTGGTCGAAATTCGCGAGCACGCGTTAAAATTCTCACCCAGGAAAAGTAGGTATTTCTCGATCGAGCTCGTATTGTATGACAAGTAGTTTGATTTTAGTAAAATCATAGCGCGTGTGTCAGACCACTTAAGTTTAATTGTTTAAGTTTAATAGTTTAAGACACGCTTGAGGGTTTGTTTGAGTCCACTCTTATCCAAGCAAGTGCTATCGTTTTTTCCTTACAGTTGTGACATTAGGCTGATTAAGCAACAGAACGAGAACGTCAGTTGACGATGGCGCGCGCAAATCAAACAACTGGCCTGACCAATGGCAGAGCAGCAAATTGGGCATTGGAAGTCGAGTTTAGTCCTTTCCGCGCGCTTTCCCGTCGTCAAATGGCTTACCGTTCTGTTGCTAAATCAGCCGAAAACTAGACGCGAGAGTCACTCGAAGACTTTTTTCAAAGTTACTAACGTGACAGCTTCCTAAATATTTTTTTTTCCTTTTTGGTTCTCGCATTTTTTTTTCCCCGGTTGGGCTTTATGCTTGTTCAATCTGTTTAAACTATAGAGAGTTCGTAATTAAAATTAAAGCTATTGAAGTACTTTTGAGGCATGATTTTATTATATCGTTTCCTGAAACAGCCAATTCCATCAAAACATCCCCGAAACAATACATTCTTTGGTAAGGATGTCATGCGAGGCAAGGTGCGAGATAATTTAATGCGCGCGAGGCGGGGTGCGAGATTTCGGCATTTTTAGTGGATCTGAAAGAGAGGTGAGACTTTTTACTAACAATAGCTTGTGGGCGAAGCCACTTAATTATTGTCAAACCTTTGCCAGAGAAAAGACTTTAGTTTTCACAGATACTATTATTTTTCTCTTCATGAAAAATTTAGGAAATATTGTCAGTCATCAAGCACCTATAGCTTGCGTCGTACTAGAAGAAAAATACCCCACGAAATGTGAAGATGCGAAAAACCATCAGCAAAGAACTTCTCTATAATTGACGAGCGTGGCCTTCTCGCAGAAAGTGTAAAAGACTAAGATTAATAAGTTCACCTTTGTGCTAAAAACACGACAAGTGAAAATTTGTTAAACGATGTTTTCCTAAAAGTTGTCGTTGTGCCAGTCATCCCAATGATTCCATTTGAAAATAAGTTTGCATAAGCAGTTTTCTTGTCCTTTGGCCGTGAAAATTGTAACAGTGATATGTATAAGTAAACTTGGACTGAATTTTTATGTCAATATTTGCGTTGTTGTCACCTTCTTTATATTCACAGAAACATCCAAGTGCGCGTCCCAGTAATTAGTCTCAATTTGAGCGGAAAACGCAAATTTAATGCTTCCAGCTTGACTAGTCATTTCAAAGGGAATTTTCCTTGAAAGCTTTAAGTTCGCAAAAACGGCTGAAATGTCCAATGTGAAACTTTCATAAGGGCATGCGTTTGCGACTTCGATGGCTAAACTTTGCCCTGAACTGTGATTTCGAGTTATCAAAACCAAACATTCGAAATCACCAATAGATTGGGCTTTGGCGCTTTTGAATAAAAATGTAGTGTAATCAGCCCATGCAACTTCCTCTAATTTCGTGGTTCTATTCTCCCAGTCCTTTTCTTCTGAACAAATGCACAGTTTGGGTAGTACATCCTGGTCAGCGCATAGCGTGTATTTCCCAAACAGCGTCAGTCTATCGAAATGGATCAACTCCATTTCCAACGAATGATAATCAGCCACAGCCTTTGATTTCACTTCCAAGTGGATAACATCTTCATCGTGTTTTACGACGTTTCCCGCCCGAACGTAAACGTCAAAAGTCGTGATTAGAGCCCCGTCTTCTTTGGAACTGCGTTCGCGAACATTTTCGAATCGCAAAGGTCGCAGTCTTTTGCAAGCGCCTAAAACAGGATATTGCTTCGCGGCTTTGCTCTTCGGATTTTTTATGAACTGTGCTAATATCATGTTATTAAGTTGACCCACTGCGAACTCTACGAGGGAAATTTTTGAAGAATCGTTAGTCGTGGGACTGTCCCATCCTTCACATACGCATAGATTTGGTGTCCTAAGCTCGACGTCGTGACATGTTCGACCAGGCGATATGGGAGTAAATATCCCCGTCGGGTTAACAAATCTTGTTATCGGCCCAGCAAGTGACATAAAAGATCGATGCAAGTCGATCATGGTTACCAGTCTCCTTTGGTTCACTTCCAAAGCGTTCATAGCATCCTTGCCCAAAAATCCTGCGACTTTGTTTGGTACTATGACGAATAGGCTTGGATGGAACATCTCAAAGCGACCTTCCAAGCTTATATAAGTGTACTCGGTATACGTATTACCATGGTCCGCCAAAAGAATTGTTAGCGTGTCTTGATTGGTCGCCATAGTAGTAACGTAACGTGCTAGATCGGAGTCTAGCGATTGTATTCTTCGCCCTTCATCGTCGTGACCAACATTAAGGCTTGTGAAAGAGAACAACGGACGAGATTTCCTAGAAGTGCTGATCGTCGCTAGCAGGTCTGCTGTATATTTCAGAATGTAGTCGTGTTGTAATCTGCCATTGAAGCAGATTTGATCGGGACCGTTAAACGGGTTATCTACCCCATACGACCCTAGAACTTCACAGCTTGAATGTGTCAAACCTGTAAATTTTAAAAGTGAAAAAAATGTTTTTATTATCTTTCGGCAAAACATCATAAGGGGCTTTCCTGAAAAGGAACGTTGAGCTTTCTCATACATAAGCATTTTAGCTTAATAGGGCATCGTTTTATTGCGTTTTATTTCCTATTTCTACGCGCGAGCCAAGCGAGGATGCATCAACTCCTTGGCCGTACGGTCAAACAATCTACCGCGGTTTTTATTTTCTTTCGCGCGCGCTCGCGCTCGACGTTGTCTAGAGAGAAAAAAGGTCTGTGGTACAGGCTACGGTACAAGAGAACATTGATGACTACCAATTAGCCCTTTTCTACTCACCCACGCAGTCATCGGCTACGTCTCAATTTTTTGTTGTGGTTTGTAACAATTGTGAGTTAAAAGATTACCCGTGTTTTCCACAAAGCTTTCTTTAAGTTTGCTCTGCAGTTCCTCCCAGTCATCCACAGCCAGGTCATTCACTAGTCCCCAACGACTCGTCCAACATAGATCTTCCTGCCATAGGGTCTGGTATCCAGCAGTTTTGAATTGTCCGAAAAGCACTTCCGGTTTCACCGAAGGGGACCTCACCTCTGGGTCTAACTCTGGCAGCAGCTGACCAGTGAATAGCGCGTGCTCGTTTTGCGTCGTGTGTCCGTGCACAGCTTGAAACAGCTCAAAGTCAAACACTTTTGCTGAGAGTGCTCTCTGCGTCAGTGTCTTAAAAGTCTGGATTGTTTTGGGTAGGGAGCGGTAAAAGTGTGGTCTAGAGACGGAATCCAATAGTACAATGTTTACATTTATGGTATTTTTCGCTCTTTGTTTTGGTGCCTTTTCAGTCGTGATCTCTGCTGGAATGGTGATCAACTGCGAAAACAAACTCTGCTCATTCGCTGCACTAAAGCATTTAACAAATACGAAGTTGAACTTGTTTTGGAAAGACTGAAGTGCTATCCGCGGTAGTTGTGTTTCTAGTTCTGAAACTTGTGAAAAGTTTCTAGCAGACCTCAAAAGCCCTTCTTCCGGATCTAACACAAAGACACCAAAAATCAACGAATCACTTTGAGATTTACTATTCTTGTGAGTTTCAAATTTTCTGCATATTCGGCTGTCGCAGTTAGCTTTAAGTACTCTTCTCTTCTTAACAATTTTAGTGATTAAAGAACAGATTTCGCCTTTCTCCTTGTTTGTCTTACATTCAGATAAAGAAGGGTCGTAAAAGTAAAGTCTTTCGGCAAGGCTACAAGCATCGTCAGCCGCTTTATGTGGCGTGCAAGTGCCATAAGTATGCTTGTTCGACCTCGTGAGGAGCGTATCTTCTTTGCAGCGACCATGGCTTCGTTCTTTAGTCGCATTTGTTGAAATTAACGTCACCCGCGAACTGCTCTCATAAGAGTCAGTTCTTTCTGCATCATCTGTTGTTACTAAACTTGGCTGTGGAACTGGTGGTGGATTTTTGCTATTCTTGTTTCGATTTTCGTAGCCAGCCAGCTTCCCTGGCCGACTATTTGAGTCCTTGGCCTTTTGAAGATTAACATCAGCGACTAGTGTAGCTAAACTCGCCATCTTGCCTGCATCCCTACACCTAATCAGTCGATCGTGCGAGAAACGTTTGCTGCTGAAGAGGTATAAATGTAAAATCGCCAAAGCAACCATTACCGAAAGGAAAACCCTTGTTCTTCCAAGTCGTCTTGGGGATAGAAACAAACGTTTTATGCCGTTTAGTCCAAAACACTCCATCCTTTACGCTCACATCCGCATCTACAACAGTGTCATCTGTGATCCTCAATGCGATGTTGAAGAAACCTGAGTACTACAACTGTAGTCAAGTGTTTTGTCTGATCTGCAAACTTGTAGTAATAAACAAAGAATTACTGTTTAATAAGATAATATGAACGCAATGAGTCCTGGTTTCATATTTGGCCCAGTATTTGGTACCGAAAAAAAGTCTTAGTAAGTAAGTAAGTAGTCTCAAAGAGTTTAAGCTAAAGTAGATGTAGATGCGGATATATCGTGTATATTGTATTGTGTAGAATTAAGATTTTTTTGTGCAAAAGCTTTAATGATTATATTAAATGCGACTTAACCGTTTAAACTGTCCAAAAGTCGAGTAGGAAACAACATGTCTAGAATAAAAGATACCGTCAATTGTGCTTTTATAAAAAAGTTCTTCTCCTTGGTCCTGCAAGTCAGTTACATTTTCAAAGGAACGCTACCAAGAAGTTCTTTCCTGTGGTGCCGTTACGTGTGCTGTGGAGGGTAATTCTAAATTTGATTAAAATTAGTGAGCCAGTGGCCGAAAAAAGTGTGGAAATTCAATGGAAAAGTTACTGAACAGTAAACCGCTTTGGTACTGTTGTTTAGTACGTGTATGCTGTGTAGGGTGATTCTAGCTAAATGGTTAGTGAGCAATATAAGGGTGGTTTAAAATATGTCGCCATTTAAATAAAAGTTACTGAGCAGTACTTTCTAATTAACGGTACTGTGGATTAGCAAGGTGGTACTGCTAAGTTTTGAGTCTGTGGATGTGTGACCATTCAAATTGAACAGTAACTGTGTAATTTTATCCTTTGAGTGCATGCACTGTTGTGAAAGCCAAACGTGTCTTGACTGTGATCATTGGACCCTGACATCCCGACATGTACAGCTATTGGCCAGTATTTCCTTACGAAACTGTTCATTGTGTTGTTTAACCTGTGAGTCTGTGGATGAAGTGTGATAATTGATATGAACGAAAACACAAAATCATTGCAAATATTTCGAGTGATAGCCTACCTCCAAATTCAACCACTAGTGTAAGTGTTGTAACTGATAAGTACCACTGGTCATGCTTTATGTAGCCCGCGAAGCGCAGATGTATTTCCGGCCGTCTCTTCTCTCGAAGCGACGACCGGAAATACGTCTGCACTTCTCAGGCAAAACTAGCTAACTATATTTAACAAAACTATAATTGATACCTTAATATATTCTAAAACGAAAATGTCATAAGCTATTGTTAAGAATAATACAAGAATATTTACAGCCTAAAATCGGCGGAAAAATAAGAATATTCAGCCTGGCCCGGGAAAACAATATTCTTATAAAAAAAAAAAGAATGTAGATGTAGTGTCTGTTTTTGTTTCCTGTTGTATAGCAAGCCATGGTGTTGGCTGTGGAAAGTAGAAATATTCTTGCTACAAATCGTTCCGAAGTTTACCTATAGTCGTCTTTATACGTTCAATTTCAAATACCGCTCGTTACTGCTTTGCCCGGGAAGGGGGGGACTCCGCATATGAAAGGGGTGGGGATGCTCGTCGGAAATTTTGAATTAAACCCTTAAAGGAGACGGATCTGGGCGTGGCCCACGCTTTTTTTTAGCCCTATTAAAAAGAGAATTAAATTAACTGCAAAAACCATGGACGAAGATCCTGCTAGCTGTAAACGTTGGATCTCTAGAAAAGAGATCAAATCAGCCAAAATATAAAGAACCAAGAACGAGAAGTCCAAAGACTACTACAAAGCTGATTTAAAACAACGTGTATTGTTTTTTTATAACAATATTTCGGCTGGCCATACCAGCCTTCTTCAGGTTTACAGATGTTACTGTACTTATGTAGCAATCACAATATAATATAAATGGAGAATGTCGCAATAAAAGGGAGAGGCGGAAATGACGTACAACATAAAAACTGGAAAGGAAAAATACTAAGGATATGGATTACAATAATTCGTCACGGCGGTTTAGGCCATGAGGTTCGAGAGTCATGGCCTTATCTATCAAATGCGACTCCCTGGCCTTACGAACTGAGTCACGTGAAGAATGAATTTTCTCTAGTGGGATTAACTGCATGTCAGTATGAGAGTGGTTAGAGTGAGAGAGAAAGTGTTCAGAAACAGTAGTGGGTTTAGATTTAATGTTAGTTTTGTCGACTGCACAATTCTGTCCACAACCACAACGGAAGGTGCCACTTGTCCATACATTACTAACGGCCTCAGAAGTTATACCTTTTACGCTACAGGTGAAACACGCTCCATCACTTCACACATTACTTGTAACACTAAAAATGTGATCTACATGGATCAATGTAACCGTTGTAATTTACAATATATAGGTGAAACTAAGCGACGTCTCAAGGACAGATTTAACGAACACAGACGTGCAGTAATGTATGGACAAGTGGCACCTTCCGTTGTTTTCAAAAAGTTCAGAACGTCTTCACGTTTCTGTGGTAAAGTTGTTTTGAAGTCTCTTGGCGCTTCACTTCATTTCAAAACTTTTTAAAATGCATGTCATGACTTTTTACCGCTTAAAGAGACTCTCAAGTTTTTGGCAACGACCATGAATTTAATGCTTTCTAGTAGCTTAGCGTAGTAGAAAAGGAACTTTTGGGACCGTACGTTTCAAATCCTGAATAAACTGTTTTTAAGGTAGCCTGATTTCAGACGATTACTTCGAGTAAAAACTTTGATAAAATTGTTTTGAAATTTGCTTTCAAAAAGTTCAGACCGTCTGCACGTTCCTGCGGTAAAGTCGTTTTGAAATCTCTTGGCGCTTCACTTCCTTTAAAAACTTTTTAAAAAGTCATGACTTCTGGCTGCTTATAAGAGACTCTCGAGTTGTTAGCAACGAGCATGAACTTAATGCTCTCTAGTAGCTTAGCGTAGTAGAAATTAAGGAACTTTTGGGACCGTACTTTTCAAATCCTGATTAAACTGTCTTTAAGGTAGCCTGATTTCAGACGATTACTTCGAGTCTGTGGTAAAGTCATGACATTTTAAAAACTGTGATAAAATTGTTTTGAAATCTCTTGGCGCTTCACTTCATTCAAAAACGTTTAAAAATGTCATGACTTCTGACCGCTTAAGAGACTCTCGCGTTTTTGGCAACAAACATGAACTTAATGCTTTCTAGTAACTTAGCGCAGTGGAAAAGGAACTTTTGGGACCGTACTGTATTTAAGGTAACCTGAATTTCAGACGATTTATACTTTGAGTCGTTTTTACTCCCTCAGTAACTTAGGGAGTAAAAATGACTCGAAGTAATCGTCTGAAATTCAGGCCATCTTTGCTATTTCACTGAATGATTGTCTCTCAGCGTAAAAGCATTTATTCTTCCAGAAATTGTACACCTTCAGTTACTATTTCAGCTAGTAAGTTAAACAGAATACCTCGTATTAAATATTAGATAAGTTGTGCGTGCAATCATTTCTTAACCCAGTGGAGAGTATTCTAATTTATATTTTTGATGAGTAAATATTAGGATACTTGAAAACTCTTTGAAGCAAAACATGTAAATCAAAATAGCTCGTGCGCATTCATACTATGTAATAACAAATCCGGATATTCAAAGAGGAATAACACAATTTTTTTCTAGCTGATCTAGTGAGGTGTACAATTATTCAAAGAAATTGAAAGACAATTATTCAATCAAATCGCCTTAGCGAAAGTATATTCAGGATTTCAAACTGTCTCAAAAGTTCCTTTTCTACTGCGCTAAGCTACTAGAGCATTACGTTCATGCTCGTTGCCAAAAACGCGAGGGTCTCATAAGCGGTCAAAAGTCATGAAATTTTTACAAGTGTTTAACTGAAGTACAACGTCAAGAGATTTCAAAGCTTACCACCGAAACGTGCCAAATAGAGACTTGCGCTGTTCGATAATTTTGCATTTTAAGTTCCGCATAACGATGAAACATTTTTGTCCATCATCCATTATGTTTGAAGAGTATTTATGACCGTAGCTCTTCTCTAAACTTTATTTTCTAAATATATGTTTATATGTTTCAGATGTGTCACAATTCACCTTTATATATTACATATTTTGTAGGTCCGTTTTCGAACTCGATACTAAAATTCAAATCGAAATGCTAGAACTCGTGATGAATTCTATGAAACTGTCTATAAATGAAAACCAGAAATGCTACGAAGGCCATGAATTACGTTACATCGAATTGAAGTGTGGCCTCAAAGAAATTCAGCAAAGAGTTCCTGCTTTATTCGTCGATTGGTCGATTATTACCTGTGAGGGGGTAGGGGACGTACGCAAGTAAACGAGAGTTCTTTAAACCCAGATATTAGACATGGATCGACAGTAAACTACATAATAGGATTCCTCAGTCCCCCATTCAGCCAGTTCGAATCAACTTCATTTATGTAAGGCCATTTCCTAGTTCCCTCAAGCCTCTGTTTCAAACCGAGGGTAAGTGGGAAGCTTTTGATGTGAAAATTAATTTTTATTTTTATGCAAATAAAAACTTATTTTAACAAGAAACATTTTGCACTTGGTCTTATTTCGAAAGTGAGAGTTTTTGGTTTATGGAATTGGCCTATTCAACTGTGGCTTGAAAGAAGCTGTACAATGCGTGATTTTCGACACTGAACAACAACAAGTATGACCAATAGTACAGCACTTACACTAGTCGTTGAATTTGGAGGTAAGCTATCACTCTATATATTTGCAATGATTTTGTGCTTTCTCTCATTTAAATTGTCACTCTATATCCACAGCCTCAAAGGTTAAACGACACAATGAACAGTTTCGTAAAGAAATACTGGCCAATAGCTTTCACCCAAACTGGCCGGTAATGTCTGGACGTACGTCAGTAAGTCAGCTTCCAGGTTGTAGTTGCACCTTGCTGGCTGGGAACTCTTTCATCAGTTTTGCTGGGAGTGAGTAACAAAAAAATTTTTCCCATTAATCTCCCAAAATGCTTAAAATGGCTTCAGAAA